TAATGATAGCGAAACTCTTTCTGTCTTTTCTTCGAATGCATAACGAAAGAAAAAAATCAATGTCCCGCGTATTAAAACAAACATCTTTTCAGAATCTTTCTCATTTCTCTCTCCTCAATCATGAAAGATTGACACAATTAATCTTGGAAACAACAACGTGTTTTTTGAATCTACATAATCAATCAAACTATCTGATATCACTCACTAATAAAATTTTATTTCTATGAATCACTCTCTCATAACATTTATAGAATAATGAACAATTCCAATCTCAACTAGATTCTAAACTCTACTACCACATATATATATATCTGCACATGAATTATTGGATGATAAGATTGTAATATTTGAATAACCGATGTTTCATTAGAATAAATTCTCGAAATAACTGTTTAAAACGATACGGAATACGAATCAAAGTTACTTATTATATATAATGCCACATTGGAAGTAAATAGTATATTGTATATTTTAATACTCTCATAAGCATGATTTTATTACTATCACGAATTTTCCCACTATCAGCTGAAAGAACGACTACACATAGTTTATCATAAACATGTATTATTCGTGGTTCAACTGTAGCAAGTAAACCTAGACCAGTAAGTTCCAAAGGAACGTTTTTTTGTAAAGAAAATTCACTCATTTGAATATCATCGCCAATATCTCTATACAGAACCTGATATCTCTTGATTCAATGAACATTTAGAAATAATACGAATACTTTTTTTTCATCGAAATCATTTTTTTTAGTTGCATANAATTCACTCATTTGAATATCATCGTCAATATCTCTTGATTCAATGAACATTTAGAAATAATACGAATACTTTTTTTCATCGAAACCATTCTGTTTAGTTGCATGTTGTTCATGAACTTGTGTATCTTCAATTTGAATAGCAACATTAACGTTATCGGGTAATTTAGCACGTCAACATTGACCTTCCATAAGTGATGTACTAGTCCGAATTAAAAGAGTTTGAATTCACATTTTCTTCTCCAGCATCTGAAAGTTCAGTATTCACATTGTAGACAACTAATCAACTATCTAACATTTGATTAGCATATTAGTATGTCATAACTACTTTAGCACATCGATTTTGAATCAACTCTGTTGCATGTTGTAGAACTGAATAAGCAAAATCTAAGTAATTCTTCAACGGAAAGAAAGGTAACTGCTAGATCAGGAATTTCTTTTGTAGTAACTTAACTCGTCGACTGAAGTAAAAATGAGTCTACTAAATAAAAAAATTGCACGTACACATACTTCTAGTGTAATAAATTTGAACAATATTTCCTAGAATTAAAAGAAAACAGACCAACTTAACACTTAAAAGATAAAAACTACATACCTTGACAGGCAGCTGGTCCTGAATGATCTTTTCTTGTTGGAACAAACTAAAATATATTTATAATCAGTTGTTCGTTTGAGTTAAGGAATGAATATGTGAAATAAATAAGTTCTTATCAAGCACGTATACATGATCATAGAGTTCTTCTAAACAAAAACAAACGTAAGAATAAAACATAGTTGATTGTATAACATAGAAAATTGATCCTCTAATTTTTGTGTTTTTCTTTTTCAACCATGCAATTCATATAATTTGTTCCTAAGGATTCGAAACCGGATAGAAGTTCAATAATACCTGATTTATCTACATATGAAAATCATAATAGAATTGAATTTATTTGAGAGAAAAAGTCGAGGGTGTGTATGGACAGATTCAAAGAAAAATTTCGAGAACAAAAGTACCGCATCGTCATAAAAGTAAAACCCTATCTATTTTTACATGGGATCAATTGATAGAAAAATATGAGTTCTTTGTCTATTAAATTAACAAGTGATTTCGTCAATTGCTCAAAGAAATGATATATGAAGCTTATGAAGATCGAATCGATTGATTCCAAATCAATTGTTAAACCATTCCCCATATGAACTTTCAACCACGTCATGTCATGAAGATGCTATCAGTTGTATAAAAGTTTCGAATATTGTAAAATATAACATTTCAACTTTTGAAATAAATAGTTTTCAATGTTCAATGGTGTTTTTATTCGACTAAATTCTCCAGATATTCCAATAACTCATCTTTTTTTCTTATTACATGCTCTGATGGAACATCTTTATTTTATGCAAGCAAAGCTATTTGTCTAATTAGTCTAGAGACTCATTATTCAACAGTTAAATGTATTTTAGAACTTATTTATTGTACATATTACATCAAGTATATTTTTCATTTCCACTCGCCATCATTACCTTGTTCTTTCTTTGTTTGTTTGATAATAAAAAGAATCGCTATTCGCTAGGATATATTCTAGTATATATACTGTCATTGTTGCATTGAACTGTTAAATAAAGACATAATTCATCTGTGTTACTTTTTTGTCACAGACCAATAAAGTCTACATACAATAGTAAATAATACATGTATTTCAATTAGTACTTCTGACAATCACGCAAACTTTGCAAGAAAAAGAAAAGTGTTGTCATTATAGTTTGGAACCTCTGTACATATGCATTCTTGAATAGACAAAAATGAAAGATGTAGTTAATTGAGGAAAATCTGGATTGATTGCGCATACAAAACATCGGAATGATTAAATAAAATACAACAAAGTTTTTTTTGTTTTACAACGGCAGTACAAATATATAAATATATACACAAGAAAAATAAAAGCTTTTTAAAATTTCTTTTTTGTGAATCGAGATCAAAAATAAATAGATCATTGAATATGATGAATGACCATCATAGAAATCTTCTTTTTGTTCTAGAATAGTCGCTTTTCAAATGAATGTAAATTATGTACACCACCTTCAATCTGTGCTGCAGTTGTACGTTTTTCAACTCTGATTAATTCTTCGGTTGCTTCTTTATGTAATTGTTCAAGTGATTGACATCCGATATCTTGAAGAGATTTTTGTATACCAGTATAGAGGTAACCACCAATAAATCGATGAATACTACCCTTGTCAACAACACTACCTGAGACACCTTGAGCAACTTTGATATGATCTGTTTCTGAATAATATCGGCTAGCGGCAGATAATTCTTGGCATGCAGTCATTGCATCAAGGCTACCCATACCACGATCTATAGATGAAGCAAAAAAAGATGTAAATTAGTAATTTATTCTATAGAAGATTTCTGTCTCATCAACTAAAAACTTTTCATAGAAAGTTTTTCAAACAATATATTTGTTGTTCTTGTCGTCTACTTACATTTCTTAAGTCTTACACCATCTTGATAATAATATTCTCCAGGCGCTTCATGTGTACCAGCTAATAATGATCCCATCATAACACAATCAGCACCTAATGTTAATGCCTTCACAATATGTCCAACGCACGATATGCCTCCATCAGCAATAACAGGTATATTATGTCGTCGTGCATATTCAGCGACTTTATATACTGCTGTTGCTTGTGCTCGTCCCACAGCCATAACTTCTTGTGTAATGCAAATTGATCCACTACCCATTCCAACTCGCAAAGCATCAGCACCGGCATCGATTAGATTTTTTGCTTGTCTTTGTGTAACAACATTACCGGCGACAACTTGTAGATTTGGATAAGTACTTTTAATATGTTTAATCATGTCAATTTGATATATGGAATTTCCTTGTGAAGAATCCAGTACGATAACATCGACACCAACTTGAGCAAGAGCTTCAAGACGTTTTTCGTCTTCTTTTCGTGTACCTATAGCAGCTCCACATAACAATTGTCGACGATTGTCTTTTGACGCTAATGGATAATCACGATTTTTTTCTAGATCGGTTCGAGCTATTAATGATACAAGATTACCATCGGAGTCAACGATGGGTAATTTTCCTAAATAACAATATTTTTTTATTTTCTTTTTATCGCAGCGCAAATAAGAAAATAATCCAATGACACATGAGTCATGTGTCATTTAACATAAAGTTTTACAAGAGACGAGAGTCGATATTTTAAGGTTTCTTTTTATTAAAAAAGAAAAATAAATAACATCATGTAACGAACCTTTTTTACTTCGTTGTAAAATACTATATGCATCTTTGAGTGTTAAATCATTTTTTGCTGTTATAAGATCAGCAATCGGTGTCATAACTTGACTAATTGGTATCTTTGACCATTGATCTTTACTTAAAAAATCAATGTCACGAAATGTTATTAAACCTAATAATTTGCTATTAATTTTTCCACTTTCTGTCACCGGTATACCTACAAAAAAAAGCAGCAAAAAGTTGCACTGTACAATGCAATAACCGTTGAATGTGTTTACCAGAAAATCCATGCAATTTTTTAATAGCGTAAATTTCAGCGACTGTATTCGTTGGTGAAAGTACTAGTGGATCACTTATAAAACCTTGTTCATAACGTTTTACTCGTCGTACTTCATTGGCTTGATATTCCACTGAACAATTATGATGAATGATACCTATTCCACCATTTAATGCCATAGCCACTAAAACAAAAATTTTACTTTTTCCATCATTTTTTTTGTTGAAAACCTTCAAATTCTTACCAGCCATAGTCGATTCTGAAACAGTATCCATTGGACTTGATACAAATGGTGTTTTGATAGTAATCTTTTTTGTAAGTTTAGCAGTAAGTGCAACATTATCTGATGAAAAATTAATATAACCGGGTAATATGATAAAATCATTATAAGTTAAACCATCATTATTTTGAAATAATTCTTTAATTGATAAACCGTCAGATAAATTTTCCTCGTGATCACCATTTTCTAACATTACGTCTTCTTACTGTGTCTTATTCGGATTAATGAATAAAAAATAAATAAATCTGAATCTGAAAGAGGTTGTTGAATGTTTTTTTTTGGTTTCCTGATTACGACATCAGTTTGGCGTTGATTGTAACGCCAACTAGATTGATTATATATTGGATAAAAATTTGTTAGCAAATCAGAAGCGGATGAACTGAATCATCATATCTTCTTTTTGTTGTTTTCCGATTGAGTTTTTTTTCATTATTTTTTTTTGGTAATATTATAATTATGGTATGTTATCAATTTATTGGAACTTTCAATTTATTCTAACGTCTTTTTATTTTTCGTTTTCTTCAAAGAATCATCAAGCTACATTTCAAGATCGATGGCCACAAATGAAACGTGTCGTATTAAAGATTCTTCGACAAGAACCAACTTCACAAGTCGAATGGCAAAATTTATTTACGTAAATAACTATTATTTCAATAGATTTCTGTTATGTTAATAAATAATCTCGTCTATTTTTAGTGATGTATACGGTGTTTCCACATGGTATCCGTCAAGTATACAAGAAATATTTACGGAATTATCAAATGAAATTACTCGGCATATCAAACAAGGACAAGAGGTTAATTTAAAAACGAAATTCTTGTTTGAGATGAGTTAAACCGATGTTTACCAGCGATAGCTTTTTTTGCTTTCGTTAAGAAATTATGTTCGACAATGCGTACATTTTGTCATAAAAAAAAGCTATCCAAAATTTATTCTCATTATTTATTTTAGCGTGTTCTACGGCATGATGAAGATTCAGCGTATGTATATCTAATGTTTGCTGGTGAATTAAATTTTGAATAGATTTTCTTTCTAGTCTTCTCAAAGCATACATTCATGAGTGGTCTAAGTTTTATGAACAATGTGAATATTTACCTAAACCGTTTGTTCGTATTGAAACAACGCCCAATGGGAATAGCTCTTCCAATGCAACATATAATGCAGAGAAAACAACACGTAATACAGATCAAGTTCGACAGTTAATGCTTGAATCATGGAATAATAATATATTTAAAGATATAAAACATCGTCTTCAAGTAAATATAAATTAGGTTTATGTGGATTTTTAATGATGGTGTTATTTTTCTTTTTGTAGAATAGTGCAATGAAATTAGTTCAAGCGGAACGTAATGGTGAATCATTCGACTCTCAATTAGTTATTGGTGTTCGAGATTCATATGGTAAAATGAATACTTGTTAGATATATTACCAATAGAGTGATATTGAGAAGAGTTATTTATAATTGGTAGAATTTACCTGGAGAAAAATATGAAATATTTGCTGATAACTACTGATTTATTGCATTTTTACAGCATGTTTGAATATAGTACCACCATTCATTCTTACAAACATTAAGAGTATCGCTATTTTACTATTAATTTTTTAAGCTAACTGAAATTGATTACGCATATCTCTGATCTGTAACCTGTAGAAAACCAGGTTTGAGTAATATAAAATCGAGATAATCCTTATTAGTAAGTTGAGACAGCAATACTCATTTATTTTATACTCTTTTTATTTTGAGCACAATTTTGTTAGTTTTACAATCTTCGAAAGTGTTATGATTACTAAAGATACATTTTTCTTTTTCTTCTTTTTAGTGAGTTTAAAAACAGATGATAAAGATAAATATAAAGTTTATATTGAAAACTTTGAACGTGCTTATTTGAATGAAACAACTCGATTTTATAAACAAAAAGCTGGCCAATATCTCGCCGAACATGGCATCCTATCTTATCTTTATTATGCAGATCAAAAACTCAAAGTAATATTTATTTTAATATCACCAACACGTTTATTTCGTCGATTTTAGGAAGAAGAAAAACGTGCGCGACGCTATCTTGAATCTGTAGCAGAATGTAATAGTGTTCCATTATTGGTTCGTCGATGTGTTGATGTATTTGTTACGGAATTTCGTGAGCAAATTACTAATGAATGCCCTAATTTAATCGAAAATAATGATATTGAACGTAAGAAGAGAAAAACAAACTATTAATATTTATTTTAAATTAATTTCAATATTATTCTTTCGAAGGTTTACGTCTTGTATTTGTACTTCTTGATCATACAGGAGATATAACGTCGCTAACACAATCACTTGAATCATTTATTGTTAAACAAGGACTTGATAATATGCTTAAAAATAAAGATACAATCAAACAAGTTTGTTAATTTTTATTAAAACCAAGAAACGAGGCTTATTTGATTTGTTTTAAAATTAGGATCCTGAAAGTTATGTTCAACAGTTACTAGATCTTTATCGACAATTTTCAAATCTTGTACGTGATGCTTTTCTCAATGATCCAAGATTTCTTACATCTCGTGATAAAGGTTAATTGAATATTGTCTTAATTTTTGCCACTAATAATTATTTTTATTTAATTAGCTTTTCAAAAGATTATTAATGATATTTCAGTCTTTCAACTTGATATGCCAGCGCGTGCTACACGAGGGTACATAAAAACAAAATTCATTTTCAAATTTTCTTTTCTTTTATTCATCGTTTCTTTTCCGTAGAACAACTCGGACAACTCTTGCTGAATCGCGTTGTCCTGAATTATTAGCACAGTATTGTGATATACTTTTACGTAAGGGTACATCAACACACAAAAAATATTCATCAGAAGAAATTGAAGTTAAACTAAAAGATGTGGTAAGCAAAAGCTTTCGATTATGTCTAGAGTTTTTATTTATTTTTCTTTTCATTTAGTTATTATTATTGAAATATGTACAAAATAAAGATGTTTTTATGCGATTTTATAAAGGAGCTCTTACACGTCGCCTTATCTTGGATACTTCGATCGATAATGAACTTGAAGAAAGCATTGTTATTCAATTAAGAGTAAGAAATATATATTTCAGGCATTTTCAATATGTGTTCTATTGCAAAAATTAATCTATCCAAATAATTTATGAACCTACATTCTCTAGTGAAACGTATAAAAATTCAATGGACATGTCTTGCGGGAAGGATTTTCCCTACGGTAATTAGAAATAGGAAAGATATTTAATATGAACGTTATCTAAGATAGTTTGTTTTTCTTTTGATGTGAACCTTCTCGAAGGTTCACTATTTCATGCAAACAAAAATTATATATATATATTGCAAAAAAAAATAAAAACAAGTTCATTCAATTATTATTTTCTTTGTCGTCATCATTTTTAATATTAATATCTTCTACTTCCATATGTTGCCAATTTTTCTCCATGCATGTTATTCATATGTTACTACTATTACTCTTTTGAGCATGTACCTTCAATGATAATTTTATTTGTAATATGTTGACATTACTTATTGCAACAAAATACAACGTAGGCGGAAGCTTCTTTTCAAATATGAACGATAAAATTCTAATAGAAATTATGAAAGCATTACGGGAATTGACAAATAGTCGTTGCCGAAGGACATTGCGATCGATTCATGTTAGTTGTAATTTAAGGCGATGGAACAAAGAAACTTTCTCTTGGCTATATTTTGACAGCTACTTGTTAAACAAATTACTTATGTGTTTCCAAAATAGTTCACATATTGCAATTAGAGACTACATGAATTCTTTGTCAAAACGGGTTATTACAGTTATCTATGAGTTATTGAATAGTAATTTATATTTCCTCGATGAAAATACTCTATTTGAAAGACTTTGTTTTTCATAGTATTCAAAACTAATGTAGATTATACGTTTTGTAAAATTCTTTTTTTTTGCTTTCAGTTAAAAACGGAAATCTTATTCTGAACGTAATTAATCTAATAGAAAAGATGCAAAATGTCCGAAGAATAATTGTCATGGATTGAGTCACACAATGCAACATAATTAGACGTACTTGTTTGTTTCATTGGAAGAAAAGTTAGATTTATATAATTTTTCTCTGATCAGATGATTTTGACGGAAGCATTTACAAAGATAGATAGTTCTATGGATTTTTTATCATTGATTCAAATTCATCAACATTTGCTTTTTGTTAGAAAAATTCAGATTTTTCATTGGAGTAGATTAAATTTTCATATAAATGATAAAACTATTCTCAATGGTATTCTGACAGAATTATTATCATTTACAGTTCATTAAGTACATATTTTCTACATGGAATGCTGATAGCATCATAGATGTTTTAATTTAATAAAATCTAAATAAATGCTTCTATGTTTCGTAGGATGTTGGTATGCCAGCTGAATTTATTATTAAATTACAGCAAATGTTCAAAGATCTGAAATTAAATCGTGATATGAATGAAGAATTTCGAAGTGTATGCCCATCGTCACGTAACAATAATACCATGATGGGTAAATATAAATAATAGTTGTTGTGTTAAATAATAAATTATTCATTTCATCTTATTTAGATTCATTTTCATTTAAAATTCTAAGTGCTGCGGCATGGCCGCACCCAGGTGATAAGATTGATGTATCATTGCCAGCACAGATCGAAGATGTTCTACCAGAAATTGAAGAATTTTATAAGAAAAAACATTCAGGAAGAAAATTAACTTGGTATCATACAGTATCAAATGGGCAGGTAAGTTTTGTTAACGAAAACGAACTCAATTAAAAGGCCAAATTTGTTTTTTGTCTATTTTTAGTTAACATTCGCTTCTAAAAATGGTAAATACGATTTAGATGTGTCAACATTACAAGCATCGGTACTTTTCGCATGGAATCATCGACCAACAAATAAGTTGACATTTAGTGAACTTAAATTGGCAACAAATATCCCAGAAAATGAATTGAAAAAAACTCTATGGTCATTAGTATCGTTTGCAAAATTGAAACAACAATTAATATGCTATGAAACACATGTTGAATCATGTCAAGATTTGAGTGAAATGAGTCTATTTTGGATAAATTACGATTTTACAATAATACGTGCTGGTAAAGTTCAAACACGTGGCCATGTTAATATGATACAACGTCTTCAGTTAAATACCGAAAAAGGACGCGAAGAAGAAAATGAAGAAATAATGTTTTTACGCGGTGAACGTACAAAAGAAGCTATTGTTAAAATAATGAAAACTCGACAGCGTATGAACAATGGTCAATTACAAACTGAATTAATTGAAATACTAAAAAATATGTTTGTACCATCTAAAAAATTAATTAAAGAAATGATTGAATGGTTAATTGATCATCGATATATGGCTAGATCAGAGACAAATATATCAGAATATGTTTATGTGGCTTGAATGAATATTATCATGTACCATGGAATGTTTCGTGAATCATTTTTAGGCAAATGTTTTCTTTTTTCTTAATGTTAACTGTGATAATTAGACTTCTTTTTTTTCTCGGATAGATTCTCTTGTATCTATTACATCTTTTTTTTATTCCCGGTTCTGAAATATCTGTACTTGCGTATATAACAGCATCAAAAATCATCATTTCCTTGACTTATAAATATGTATTTCTTCGTGTATGTAACTCAAAAATTGCTACAATAAAAAAGAAGCACAGGTTTGTCATCACGATCACTAAAATAGATAATTATGTTTTCATAGACAACACTTCGGACGAAAACAAGAAAACAGATTTATTCACTCTGAGGATTGTTTTTTTTTCTTTTTTGTATTACTGATTTATCTTACAAATTGAATAGTAGCTAGTTTTTTTTTAAACAGATATATAACATTATGGACTTTCGATGCATCGAATTATAATGAGTAGGAAGCTACAGTACTAGAAATATCAATGGATAACTATTCTCCTTCGATGTAATTGTAGTATTCTATACGCGAAATAAACGCATCAGGCCAATTATTGTAATCTAGATGACTGTTTTTTGTTTCATAATGGCCTTGTGTGAGTTCTTTTAGCCTGTCATGATCCATTAAAAAACAATTCTAAGTCAGATTTGATACTGAAGATTTCCAACCAACTGATGTCAAAGTTTTGTCAGTGTCTGTCTTAGGAAGATAAAATAGACTGGTTCCTGATAATTTCAGAAAATTAATTTTCGTTTAAAAATGATTAACAAGTCGGAGAAATGAAATCTATGTAATAAGTTTTACACTGCAATGTCTTCTTCAATTTAAAAACCTTGTGGATTTCGCTAGCATGCAACATGAGTTAGGGAAATTCATCACACAAAGAGAGAAGTCTGAAAAATGCATTACGATTAAAACACGCACATATGCGTAGACATGCAGATATCAAATTTCATGAAAACTATCTCAAAAGAAATTCATTAATATCTTAAGTTGTATTAGTCAGCACTTATCAGCCGTATCTCCCTAGTTATAAACCTATACGTTAGTTCCAAATATTGCATCTATCAAGGCTAACTAAGTATTCGTTAAATTGCGATAATTGAACAAATCAAAATAGTGTAGTTGAATCTGTCAAATATTGCAATTCGAGTATTTTTCCTATGAGAAATCTTTTGTGAATAATACAATGCATTCATTTCATAACCCGGTGAAAAGCTGATTTCAGTAAACATAAGTGACTCAATTTAACAGTCAGGAAATACTCAAGCAAAACTTTGAAAACTATTTCAAAAAGTCTCTTCTCGGTCGATTAAATTGTATCGACAATGTTACAGTTACTAGGATATTCGTTGGTAATCTACTATGTTTAAGCATGTTTAGATCTTATTTAGCGGTATCTGGGAAATGATTCATGTTTATTAACTTTTTTGCGTTCTTTACATAGAAGTGGAACAAAACACAAGCGTGACTACACATTTCTTATAGCACATTTGAGCACATAGAAATAAAAAGAAATAACAGGCACTATATAGTTTATTTTTTCTTCAATGAACATCTCCATCCGTTAACGATAATAAACTACTCGATGATGATGATGACGAGGAAGAAGCTGCCGAAGAACTACGCCGTTTTTCATCGCCGTTAGTTGCCCTAAAAATGCAATCAAATTAAATATTTATAAGAATAAATTTGCAATTTCTAACCGTTTTTCTTGTGAACGATTTTCACTGGTAACAAATAGATCTTCCATTGGAATAATAGCTTCTGGTGTTTTATATTCACGTTCACCAAGTCTAGTTAAAACTTGACAAAAATCATGACCGATCATTTGTAATGTTGATATTTGTATTTGTAAACCCTAAAATCAGAAAGTTTCTTCGTTTATTTTAATCAAATAAAAACTACAAACTTTATATAAGCCGGCGTCAAAACCATTGTATGTTGCTTCCATTGTATAAGCAAAATCAATCTTAAATTCTTCCCAGACTACCATACGAGCACAGCCTTCCTTTTGTTTTCGCATCGTAAATAAACAACTTTGTAATGCAAAACCCGGTACACCCGTAAATAGTTTAGGGAACATTTTTGTTATCGTAGAACGACCAATGGCTGGTCCAAGAAAATGAAGACGAGGATCATTGCCATAGAAGAAAAAATTTTTTTGTCGCGAATGGCCATGAAAATCACAAAACAGCTAAGAAAAAACACAGTTAATAAGTTCAACTTATTAATTTTATTCTTATATACCGTTATCGGCCGAGAAGAACACATTGATAAATAGGCTAATAAACCTTTAGTATGATAAATTGTTGGAAATAGTACGGAATTAGGAGCTGACCACTGGCGATTAAGATCTTTCGTAGCTAATGAACAACGTTGACTAAAAATAGAAGAATAATCATATTTGAAACTTCTGTTTACAACTGTAGGAATTTTATTTAAACCTAAGTTGTGAATCTACATAGAAATACTCAAATAGGGAAATCATTTTTTTATGTAAAATTCTCTAAAAATCGCAGCACATACGGATAATTTCTTCCTCAGATATTAATTTTTCTAAAACTCGATTGGATTGTTTGTTGTATAGTACGTCAGAGATACAATCTCAGAAGATCGAACCGTATCCTATTGGAATTTTTCATACATTGTAGAAAATGTCTCTAAGGCTCTATTTATCTATTAGGATTGAGATAGGTTTTTAAAATTTACCAGCCATTAATAACACCATCTGGATTCAGCATTGGTACTATCTAAAAATTAAAAAGAAAAATACTCAGTTCTATTAGACGCATTGATAAGGTTAATCCATACTTTGAAAATATATTGATCTCGTAAAAGTCGTGCTGTTGGTTCATCACTTAATAAATAATCAATAATACCTTTCATAATCCAAGATGCATTTGATTCACCTGGATGAACACGTGCTGTTAACATAACATATGTTCTTTCATCTTAAATAAAAACAAAATATATTTATAAGACATTTTGTTTTCTTAAGATCGTGACTTCATTGCTTACGCATAGGAATGGTCTGTTTTTCACTGTGGTATACATCATTTTGATTATAGAAACTAGTTATTGTTAATAAAGGGCAATCATTTTCAGATAATGTTTTACAAAGTACTTGTTGCCGAAAATAAATACTAGATCGATCATATGTATTTGACCAATTGACTATATCCGTCTAAATTTTCAATAAAAACGTTCAAACAAAAAAATGATTTCTTATATTAATTTACCATTAGTGTTGTATACGTATATGGATAATGATATGCTATATAGCAGACGTCATTATCATATGTAAATCGTATATTAAATGTCAATGTGTAATAGACTTTCTTTTTTTTGCCATATGTATTTTTATAGTAAGAAACCTTTTCGCCGATCCGACGCCAACATGGTTTACCATTAAGTGCATCACAGACACTAAACATCACTGGTTGCATACCGGAATTAAATTGACTGTTGGCTTTTTCAAAATTGATTATATTAAAACGATAGGTTATATCATGACGCATATTTGATACTTCGAAATAGAACCATTGATGATAGCGAAATGTATTTATATCAGGTCGAAGGATTAGATCATATTCTTCTTCGGTAATCTAGTAGCACGCAAAAGGATAAGCGAAAATTTATATTGAATGACAGAGGCTCATTTGTTTTTACTTGAACAGCTTTTCTTAAATTACCACATTCAAATTGAGAATCGAAGCGAAGATGATCAAGGTTGGATCGCATTTGGCATCTATAACGAAAAGTGATTAACAAAACTGACAACAAATGTTTTTAGACTAAACAGAAATCTTATGATTTCTATCATATACTCAAGAAACTTACTAGAATTTTTATCCATCAAAAAGAAAGCAATAGAAAAATTGATCATCATATCTCATTAGACTCGCAGATTTTTTTTATATGCATCTCACATAAGATAATGAGTATTGATATTGATATTTCTACCTCTGTTCATCTTCGTTATCCAATGCCGTTACTACTGAGTGATCAACCACTGTATCAAAATCATAGACTGTACGATTAAAAATTGATGTTGGATAAATGATTCGACGAATATCCCCAAGTAATGTTGACCTATAGAGATAGAAAATTACACTTCGACATAATAAAATAAATAATTTACCTATTGTTTCGTTCATCAGATTTTTGCATGGGTTCAAGTCTTGCATGGGACACAGCATTAAACGCATCCGGATAGGCAAGTTTGGTAAATCTTTAAGAAGAAAAAAAATTAGCCATTATATGTTTCTAATATTTCCTAAGAGCTGTATATATATATATATATATATTCTATACCGATATGCACTTTTCGTAGATTTAGCAAGTATAGAATATGTTTGAAAATGTAAATCTAATGGCATACGCCAATAAGAAAATGCTGATTGCGTACAAAGAAGTGTTAATGATGATGGTAAGATATTTCGAAATAATCTTGATAGTAAGCTTTCTGTAGACGGATCAAGAATACGTTGTGCCATTTTCGAACGAAGCTATAAGAAATCATAGCACAACAAACGTATAAAAAAAATAAAACTTCAGTCTATATACTAAATAAACTGGATCAATCATTTCATCAAAAAATTGTTCGTATGCTCTAGATAAATCAACTGAGTCACGCTAAAAATAACAAATAAAATAGATAATTGTTGAAATTAATCATCAATACTTACAGTTTGTTGTTCATCGTTTGGTAAAGGAACGGAGGAGTCCAATACATTTTCTTTATTGGAAGTTTCATCTTCTTCATCGTCTTCTTCTTCGTCATTATCGTCTGATTTTGAACTATCTATTAACGAAAAACTAAACTGTAAAAATTTGTTACATTTTCATAAATAGCTAAATGAAATATGGAAATATTAGTGCCAGAACAGATATCGATAATTCGAAAAGAAGATAACGAAAGAACAAAAAACAATACATCTAGATTTCTCAATAGATTGACATAATTGTTTGCTTGTTTTTATGTAATTCATATGAAATGCATTTACAAATTTGCATTTTAAATTTACCTTTCATACGCTATAAGGCTATTAGAATTCAAAAACCATAGGCTTAAAGAAGTACATCAATTTAGCTATGGATAATTTGAATGATTTGGCAAATTCTAAATTAAATGCCAATCATGAAATAAAACATCGAAAATTTATAATTCCTTAATGCTAAGCTCCGAAAGCTTTTTTTTAATATTCTTTCAAGGAAAAAGCAATCATTTAATTCGCATTTACTACGTAGTTTAAAATGTTTTATAATCATCAGTTACTCAATATAATCTGCCATTGAGGGGGTCCTATATTTACCAAAAGCAGTAGCTCATGTCAATAAAATCCAATACACGAGATTTTTCTTATAAGATAACTGGCGTATGCACTTTGTCGAACAGTTAAGATTTCCTGAGAGAAATTAGTTTGTTTTATATAAATCTCCAGATAATTTGACTCAATGAAAACAAAGTAGATGAAAAATAAATTCTATATGATCTTCGAAATAAGCTTTAATTTTCACCTTCATCATCAAGTTCTTCATCTTCAACAATACGAATGCCAGTGTCTTCTGGATCGTCAAGATTATTGCCATTTAATCCAGGTACTTGCCGATATTTAGTTCCATTTGTAACCGATCTTTTCTTCGTTACTGTTTTTTGTTCTGTTTTTTTCTTGTCTAATTTTGTTCCTTTCGAAGATTTTGGTCGAATTGATGCTGTTGTTACACATTTTGTTGCCGATGATGATCTTGCTATTGCTGAGCCTATGGAAGATTTAGGGCGTAGACGTTGGTCAGCAGTAGAAACTCGTTCATTGGTCGGTATGACTGATTTACATTTTTCACGTAGTTCATCAAGATCTTTTACTATTTGAGGATCTAAAAGTATTCTTGAAAAATTGAATTATCTTAAATTGACTAATCTATCCATACCAGCACTGAGTAATTCATTAGAAACAATATAATCATAGCCTGGTGGTAAATTAAATCTTACTGGACTAAAAATTGAATCTATCGGTAATTGTTGTTTTGGACAGCAGTGAAGTAAAACTTGACAAGAAAGATCAACAAATGTACAAGAATAATCACTAGGTAAAACGTTGAGAGCTAGCTCATATAATAAATAAAAACCATTAGCTTCTAAAAATTGAACACGACCGGCCTCTAAATAATTTTTTTGTCAGAAAGAATAATTATCATTAAAAAATTAATGAATCTCATTTAAAATAAACATACTTGATTTAACTATATTTAAGAGCACTTTCAAAAGACCTTCTTTAATTTTTACTGTTCGTGCACGATTTTGTCCTTGGGATTTATCCATTAGAAAAACTACGGCTAATATATCGCGAACAATTGTTGTTGTTGTTGCGCGAGCAGCTAACTTTTCTTCAAAATTCAAAAACAGCATTTACTGTCGTTATTTATTTATTCACATTCTAACTTACTAGTTTGAGTAAGATGGCGAACAACAGTAATAGATAATCTTTGTAGTTTAGCATGACGTCGATCAAGTGTTAATGCTAGACGAAGTAATGGTTGCAAACCAGCTGCTCGACATATAGCAGCAGCAGTTATTGCTATTCAAATCAATATCTGTTAGATAATATCTATGTTTTAATGAAAATTTACCGTTTTTTGCATAAATTTTTAGAAGAGTTAGAAGAACGGGACAAACTTTTGCATTATAACTATAGATACGTAATAATGATATTGTAGATCCTACTGTTTTAAATAGACGAGCTTTTAAAGCAAGACGTTTATCTATAATGAAATATAGATTTTAATAAAATACAATCGTTTCAATTGATAAATCACAAACCATGATGACCAATAGCTGCTAAAATTTGATGAATTTGAAGTGAAATATCTTGACCTAAACCGCGATCTTCAGCTACGACACGAAGAGTATTTAATAGAAAACTGCATACATCATTTTTTATTAAAGATTTCACCAGAGGTCTAGATGTTTCTAAAAAGAAATATATTATTATTGATCTCGTCAATAATAGCAAAGTAAATTGTCAACATTATCCTCCATGTTTATGGGTTGGCTATAATCGTATAAGTTAGAAAAGATAAGAATGATGTTACATTTCCTTTTCAATATTTTGTTTACTAGGCTACCAGAGTACGTCTAGTACACATCAATTTTTATTATTATGGAAAAATCATCTGTATCCGCTAGTAGGAAATCAATACAGATTCGCTGTTTTTGTTTACATCGGATAAATTCCGCAAAATAAAAGCAATATTTTTTTTGGTCCATCATTATACAATAAAAGAATAGGAAATAGTATGATGAACATTATTCGATTGTGAATATATAAATATATTAGTTTCCGATTGTTGTATGAAACAAAATCGACTCTTATGTATCGGTAATTGGCATAATCAAGGACTTTTATTTTTATGTTTTTATGTTTCTTTCTCAATGAATCGCTAAAAACATGGAATATTTTGATTGACTGCTTGTCTATCACACTTACTCTTGTCGCAATCAAGTATTTCTCGTATAATGTTGAAGATTTGAGCGATGAATTCAAAATCATCAGGACCATTAGTCGTTGAAAGTAAAAGATCAACAATAACGTCAGCATGTTTATCAACTACGTCTGCATTGGGTTTTTCTAAAAACAAGAAAAAAGAACCAAAATATGATGCATTTGTTAGAGGCATTTTTTTTTGTTCTTTTAAAATTAGCAAGTACCAGCATAAAAAAATTGATTAATTTTTCGAACAGCATAACGAAGTTCATCTTTATTATCAGCTGTTGATATTTTATCACGTGCTAATGCTTGACTAATGCGTGTAAACCATGAATCCACCCTATTTAAAGTAAAAATAAACATATAGGCGCTTGTTTTAGCTATATATTTTTGTTTGTTATATTTAAAAATCGATTGTTTTCTAAGCCATGAGAATTTTAATCTATGTTTTGATTCTTTTTTTTATATTAAAAATGACATTCACATTTAATTTACTCAATGTACTAAATCGAGCTATGGGTATTGAAAATGAATCAAACATTCCATATAATTCAAACAGTAGACCAAACTACCAACAGTAAACTCTCTCAACATTCATATAAAATATATGTAAGATCGATTAATGATGATTTTACTTCATGATTAAACCATTTCTTTTCAAAAGAAATAAATATTACTATAAAAACTTACATTTTTAATCGTTTTAATGTCGACATGTCTTAAGTGCTTTGCTACAAGTGTGTTAATTATTAAACTGCAAAAAGCAAAGTACAACCTACTTGATAGGAGGCATTGATAATATGTCGAAAATAATCACAGTGAATTCTAGACAAGCAAACTGTCGAAATTCATAAACACAAAAGGATAATAGAACTATAAATATAGTCAGATAACGAGACGAAAGCAATAACCATAATATATATATATATATATATAGATATATATAGAAAATCTAAAAGATAGATAGTGAATGGCTTGTATTACTTTTACAACAACAACGTAAGATGGTACACAGAATGACATCACGCACAGAAAAATAACGATGCTATTTTTTGCTTCTGCCAGGCGTCAATAAGATTGAAGAGCTTATAGACAGAATGCGGATACCACTGGTAGACTCGCATTATGCATTTGTTTCTTTCTCTCTAAGCACATGCCAATGAAGAATGAATAAAAAAACAACCAACAATTGCGATGGCTTTTATTTTTCTTTTGTAAATAACTACTAATAGATTTCATTTTTGTATTTTTCTTTCTGTAGAATATAAAGTAATCTAAAGCGAAAAAAAGTAGACCAACTAATACAAACATGAATTGATATGTGTTCGGAGAGCAAGTTTCAATATTTTTTTTCCAATTTTTGTCGAAACTAAATATATTTCTTAAATAAACATTGTTTGCAATGTGTCTTATATAAGTTTGCCATAAAGTAGGAAAATTAATTATAAAAGAAAATATTCGAGAAAGGCGTTTACTTTTCTTTGTAACCCTCAAAACACAAAAACAATCGCTGCCCATGATGATTACAAAAAGAATTTTAAATATTCACATAGTCGATGTCTAAAATATTTTTATGTTTTCATATTTATTTAAAAAAAGATTCTAGCTGATGGGCGGAAAACAAGTCTATATTATGTTATCTATGACTGATAATCATTTGATAATGATAAGGGGAAAACATACAATACTTAACTCAGTACAAGCAATAGTTAAAAAAGTATGTTGTACAAAATTCACCATCAAAAACAAAATAAATAAAATAAAATAGGGTAAGTTTATTCCATTGCAAAAAAATATCAATAAAAATCACTTTGGTCGTTAAGTATACCCTATTGTTGCCTAGTAGACCGAACTCTATAATTTTTCTTTTTTTTCAAAGTTTTTGATTGGTCTTCTCATATTACCAATGAACAAATTGACTTCAGCTGACAAAAAAAAATTTCTTTTTCTTATTTTTATTGATATACGAAGATTATTGATACTTATACATGTTTAGATCTCATTCACTACTTGCCAGATAAGTATCTTGAAACGGTTAAACAAAATAGAATATGCCGATACCGATAGAAAAAATTCAAGTAGTTGAACATGAATTCCAACGACAGCATGATAGTGATGATGAAAGCGATGACAACCAAAATCAACATCAACATCAACATCATCATCAAATTCGTCATACAACCGCAATGACGCCACCTGAGCAAGATTTTTCTTTTCTGAAGAATCATGGACAAGCAAAACGTTCTGTCCATTATGATATTGAACAAATCGATAGCTATGAAACTCGACCACTAAGAGTTGCTCATGAAAATGAACAACAATTCGATAATGTTTTACGTCGAAGATATATTGCACATTGGGGTTTACCAGGTTAATATTATTTTATTGAAATACGCAAAATCTACATATAAAAGATAATATCTCAAGGATATATGGCGTTTTAAATATCATGACCTTTTCTTTTGTTTATCTATATTTAGTGTCAGAAACTTTTGACACAGTAGCTATTTGTTTGGAAAGCGTGTTCTTTTTGCTATGAAAAAACGACAAATTAGATGCCATTAAAAAATGATTTCTTGATCAATTTTTTTTGAATAATTTCTTTCTTCAATTCATTTAGAATGGCTTGGTGATAATCATTTTCTCTTACAAAAACATCGTCCACCAGCTAATTCTGTTCGTGAATGTCTCATATCAATAGCATCAATACACAGTGAAACAGTTAATATTTGGACACATTTAATAGGTGCATTATGTGTTGCTGTTACATTTGTACTTTTTCTTATTGATAATCATCGACAAATGGATTTAAGTGATTTTATATCATTTAGTGTTTTTTTTATATCAGCTATATTATGTTTAACATTTTCGACTTTACTTCATGTATTTATTAATTATTCGCCACGTGTTATGGTAATTGTTTCCAAACTTGATTACATGGGTAAGAAATAGGAATTTTACGAATGCAAAGAAAAAGAAAAAAGTTAATTAATAGCCTGAAAAGTGTCAATCTGTTTTGATAAGGATCAAATTGAAATGAATCATTTTCTTTTCTTCTTTTCTATTCTTATAAATGCAATTAGAATATTTATACGTTGATAAATATTGGTACAATGCCTCTAAGATTGATTACACAGGCTTCTATGGTATAAAAATAGAATATTTAAATAGTTATTTTATACTTTTTGAAAAATAATGGATACATCATTTTAAAGAAATAATCATTTTTTTCTTCTACTTGGAAAAAGTCTTCATACAGAATTTGCGAGCATAATTAATTAAAAAAAACTATTATTAGAAATCCAATTTAAAATGCATTTCTTTCTTTAGGGATTAGTATTTTAATATTTGGTTCAATGATTCCAGTGATCCATTATTTATTTTATTGCAATTTAAAACTTAAAACAATATATATTGGTATCTTACTGGGACTTTCTATTGCGTCAGTTATTGGCACAAGTAGCGCGGCATGCGCAAAACCACGATGTCGTCCATTTAAAGCGATTCTATTTATTGCTTTAGGTCTTTATGGTATGAAGAATTTTTTTTACGCTCCTTATTTAATTATGATTGATATTCTTGTTAACTTTAGGTGCCGCCCCGGCAACTCATGCATGTATTCTTCACGGTTTTCCACGTATGTTTCAGATGGGATTTCTATATCTTGTTATTATGGCTGTAACTTATATTTCTGGCGGTGTTATCTATGCTGTTCGTATACCAGAACGATTTTTTCCAGGTAATTAATCATAATATGTATGCATATATATATATATATTCACGAAAAATTTCTGCTTGTTCAAGGGCGTTTCGATATCATTGGACACAGTCATCAAATATTGCATATCGCAGTAATTGCTGCTGTTTATTTACATTTCTACGGAATTTGTTGTTTATTCAATACCGTGATCCGAACCGAGCAATGCATTATGCCGATAACATTGAAACTTGGTGTGACTGATCTATCTATTTCATCAACTGCGATAGAATAAAATAAAAGCTTATTTGTATAAATAACAGGAACAAAAAAAACACACACAAAATTTGCGATTCTACTCTATTGTTTAGTGTTGATGTCTTTCAATCTTTTCTATTCCTAATATGCATGTCAAAGTCATTTGGTTTGTTCTTCTTTTTGAATATAATCAATAGATTATGTTAAATTTTGATCAGATCATTGCTTAATAAAGAATCACCAACGACTGCTATATACGGTTCCACTGAATGCTTGGTGACAATACCATTAAGAACATAAGGATCTTGCTTTGCAAGTTGTTCTATTTCATTCGATGATAAATTGCGAAAGATAAGCAAAGCACCTGTTGGCGGACTACCATAGGCACCACCTAAAATAACATTTCCCTTCTCGACTTGTTTACCAATAAAAGCCAAATGAGCTTCTCTATGTGGTTTTCTTTTTTCCATTACATCAGCGATATATTCATATTGTAAAATATGAAGTTTAGGTTGAATTGCCCCAGTCGACGATGTTGATGCCATGCTTAATCTAAAGATACAATTCTTGCCAATTAAATGTCGAGTAATTAAAGATGTCCACATATATTTGTTTATTTTATTTTTCTAGAATGTTTAGATCTTCTTTTTTTTTAAATCTTGTATGGATGGTTTAGAAGAAAAGAAAAACAGAAGACAAAAAAACGTTATTTTCCATCTCATAGTCCCGCACTGTTTTTTTTTCTCTTCCCTGTTTGTAAATACACACATGTATAGAGAGAAGACATTTTTTTAAAATGAATAAACACAAACAACGACACGTACATAGATTACTTATGAAAGTTAGGACATGATGGCACAGTCACAATAAAAGATTGATTGACCAGAGCGAGAAAAACACAAACAAAAGAAAAAGTTAACTTTACAATAGAACAAAACTAAAACGAAATAGGTAGATTTGTATAATCTATTGCTTGTGTCATCCAAAAATGAGATTCACTTGTTATAGAATAGGCATATACATGTATTGATGTTCTTATTGTGGGGTTCTTGTTAATACTCCCGGTGCACGTTCAACACGAATACTAGTGAAACCTTTTGATTTTTCGTCAGCATTGCGTGGTTGTCGAATAATAATTAATTTTTGACGTTTATTCTCATCAAAATTCACTGATCTAAGTTTGGTTATTAATCTATCAGGTCGTTGAAGGGTACTGAAAAAAGAAAAACAAAACATTTACACTTGTGAATCATTATTTTTAGTCGGTATTTTAAATACACATCTAGTATTAAACTGGGCGTGCGAAAAAATAATCATATATGTGTTGATTGCATTGAAAATTAATAGCAAATCTTTGTATCTTATCTATGGGTAGCATTGAATTAATGATTAATATTTAAACTACAATAAAAACACGTTAATCTTCAGATTTCTAAATAGTGCATGGATTTTTTCTCTGCTTTAATGAAAATATTTTACGATGAGAATAATATCTTTTGAACAAGTAACTATTACTTCGATTAACGCATGAAGCTATCTAACATCTTCCATCCTGTCAGCCTTCACGCACTATTATCTGCCAGTAGACATATTCTCATCTGACATCACCAGAGGCAAATGAAGAACACTCTTTTTAGTCTCTACTACACGCATGATTTCTATGAGGAATTAATTATCTTTCTGTTATAAATGCAGTACTATTCAATATAAGATTGTATTAGACATTATACGACATCTATCACAAGACATATTTGCTAGCACAATATCGTAAGTTAAAAGTAACAAGTGAGAAAATTTTTAGGAAAATCAAAACAAAAGGAAAGCCATTTTTGAAAGTTTAAAGCTAAAGGTAGATTTTTACGAATTATCAAATGCTAATGAAAGACATGATCATTTTTTGGGAAAACTTTGTTTTGTGCTGAAGACACAGACATATATATTCAAAGTACTGACAGACAATATTTGTTTGTCAACAAAATAAACTTACTTAATTCGGCGTAATTTACTTGCACATGGTTTGCCACTCTTTAAGTTATATTGAGCATAGAATTCAACTTCATCACCGGGCCGTAATTCAACGCCTCCGTCAACTTCAGAATTATGAAAAAATATTTTCTTATTTTCTTCGCATGCAAAATCAATGAAACCAAACTAGAAAAAGATTCACTTGTTTTTTTTTGAAAATTATGAATATAGATTATATCAATAGCTATTGCTATTTACCTGTCCTTTAACTGTATCAATTTTTCCTTTACGTATTTCATTTTCTAAAACAATATTGGCAGCACGTTGTGAATAATCAAGTCCAACGGCAACAGAAAATGTTACTGCATCATTTGGTAATAAAATAACTCGTTTGTTTTTGGCACCTGTTATGCTATATGTAAAACATTCGCCTGGATTACCATCAGCAGTTAATTTTTGAATTCTACCGAGTATTTCACAGTCATCATTTGTTATCATTCGCATAGGTGATACAACACGACCACGATAAACTGTTGGGAGTACTGACTAAAAGAAAAAACATTAAAAAAAGTTATTAGCACAATTCCTGCACCGATGTCTCTCATAATTTATGATTCCATCTATATATGAGCAACATAATCAGAATGCAAAACTGATTGGTCTCGTTTATGGCTGCATATTTTAGAGAAAAAAAAGCTCGATTAAGATTTGAAAATTAACTTACATAGAAATTATTAATGGCTGCTGGCACTTTGAGAATGTTTTCAGCTGTTAACCGGCCAGAATTTTTTCTTAAACTAAATTCAACTTCATCTCCTAAGTCAATTAGCGTATTATCACCCGTAAATGAATTAGTTGTAAATGCAATTGGCTCGATATTATTCGTTGTACTATTGGGTTCAATAAATCCTTTTCCTTCACGAATAATTGCAATCCAACCACGAGTACGATTTCGTTCAACTAATGCTACATTTGTTGCCACTTTACTACCTGACAAAACTGTAAATTCCACCTGAAAATTATAGATAAAAAGAAAACATGATATATTCTCCAAACAAGTTTCTTTTCTTCATACTTTATCACCATAATATAATGCTGATGTATTGCTTATATTTGTGGATAGAAATGGAATTGTAGCTTCAATTCCATCACATACATATCGAATAATACCTGGTTCTGATTGACGATTCGTAGGATTAGATATTGAATCGTTACCTTGTGTTTGTTGTATTTTATTTTCAGTCGTGGACCTCGCATCATTTCCACGATTAGTTCGTTCTAAACAATTTTTTAATTGGATTCAGAAGAAATTCTATTTAGTTTTATAGATAATATATACTAACCTGTTCGTCCATCTTGTGGATCACGTTCAATAATACCTGTTAATCGTAATTCGCGACCATTAATCAGATTTAATAAACTATCTTTTGATAATAATTTAATACGAATAGCATGCGGTAAGTCCTAACAAAAACAAACACAACAAGAAAAGGTTTCTTCTTGGTTGAAAACAATAATCAAAACTAACCCCATTATTTGGACTGATTGCTAATGAGAATTCTAATGGATCACCTTCGCTTATTTGAAAATTATCTTTCATGACTTCACTAAATCGAAATGGAACTACTTGATCCGACAAGAAACATTTAATCTGACCACCTGATGTATTATCTAATTTTATAACAATACCCTATGAAAAACAAAAAGCAAGAATATCTTAGGAACGTAATTAAAGAAGAAGAACAAAAGATGATTTACCATTTCTCGATGCTCTTTCGATTTTAGAAAACTTTGATCGAGTAAAGATATCTGTGTAGCACGCATCATACCGTCACGTTTATCTTTGGCAATAACGAATTGAACAATATCATTTTCAAGCAATGTATATAAACCGCAGCGATCTCGTTCACCAAATGGTAATTCAGACATTTTACTATTTAAAATAGAGCTTGTTAACTTTCTTAGAAAAGATTATTCGAAAATGTTTACTTGTCAAATGCATCATAAATTAAACGGCCAGCTAATGCATCATTTGATTTTTTTGCTTTGATTTGTAATGGCTGTAATACTCGACCAATATAAGGTGTTTTGTCTATTTCATCGAATTTTACGGTACCATTCGGCAGTATAATAATGTTAATAGCCACTTCTTTGTTCTAAAACAAAATGGCTTCATTAATTCTATATGTATTATCAAATAAAATTTCTAGAAATTTTTCTTGCAAACAAGACATATACTGCTGTGACTCTCGTCATTGAAAAAAAAGGAAGAGTTGTCGAAAAGATTCAATTGATATAATTATTTACTTGAAGCAATTACAAAACAAAATTCAATATCACGACTGACGATAAGCTATGTCTATTATATTATTATTATTATTCAAGTTACAAGTTACTTTTTTTTATATAATTCATTAGCATGAGTAACAAAACTGTCTCAAAGACGTACGTCCTTCGTAAATCTTCTGGTAATTTCTTCATTAATTTTAGATAATTCAATTTATGATCAATAGATTCAAAGTTTAAATCTCTACAAAATTTTTCAACATGAGACAATCGTAGAATATTTTTTTCTGAAGAGAACACAATGATATATTAGTATATTTCGTAACATATAAGTTTTTGTTAAGAACCAATTGTACTGTCTCTGAAATTAAACGATGGGATATTCGCACTTGTCTTAGTTTCCTTTGAATGTTTTCAAACATTTTATTTCCTGTCAATTTTAATGGATCTCATTACAACAGGATAGTAATGCGCATATGATGATATGTTCCACAGAGAGATATCAATCTCTGACACTTGCGTTGGAAGTCTAGATATTTATGAAATATGATATATATATATATATATATATATATATTTACTTATTTATTTATTTATTTATTTATGTATCAGACCGCAGCGTAATTCTCCTAAAAACGCAATTGCTCCTGAAAACAACGACAAAAGGTTATCGCCAAAGGTTAGGTTTAGACATAGGCATATTACTTTTACAAAACGATACCAAAATCTTTCGAGATATTCGAAATGCTTTCATAGAACGGCTGGTTGAGTTTGTTTTTGTACTTCTGTGACCCTTACGCTGCGGTTAGTCAACAACATTCATTAATTTGGTGCCGTACTATCTATGACCTTCACAGCTACTGTTATCCAAGTCTGACTAACGAAGATTGATAGTTATATTAGCAAAATACAAATATGCGTAGTTTTCTAGCTACTCCAGATGGTCTGGTTATTTTCAAATATACTAACTTGCAAAGGTAAAATCGAGCTATTAATCGTTTCTATTCTATAAATAAATGACTGATTGAAAATATTAGCAATACATTTGATTTATTTCTATGCAAAAAAAGACTAACTAGAAATTCGTAACCTGATTCGACCAAAAACTATCTTTAAAATTAAATTTTCATCTCGCTCGTAGGATTCTAGTTGAAATGCGAAGCTACATTTTACATAAACCTTAAACATAATTTATTTTGATCATAGAAAAATTAATCATTTACAAATACATATTTGGCACACGACATTTCCAGTTCACACACTAATGATTGGTGTCAAAAAAAACACAGGTATCATTGTGTTTATTTTAAGCAAATATGTTTTTTTGAAATACTCTATGAATACAACACTTCTAGGAAAACAAATATTTGTAATCATTTATTCTGTCTAAAAGATTATCGATGTTCTACAAATAGTCTGACTAGAAATTTTTTAATATCAGAACAAATTGACCTTGACTTTATTCTAGACTACAACAGCAACTATAATACAATTACATCTTATTCCTCAATGGATAAAATCTTTTCATTTCGAAAACAATACTATTATCTCTTTAACAAAAAAAACCTCATTTCAGTAACTTACGTGTCTATCTTGAATATCGAATTCAACTTCTACACCTGGATGAACTGTGTTCGTTGCTACATTTGGTCCGAATTCAGTTATATGAAAAAATATTTCTTTAAGTGCATCTTCTCGTTCAATGAAACCAAAGCTATCTTTCATTGTTGATATAACCCCACGAGAACGCTTAACAGGTGCTGCTGCTACTACTGGTGAATTCATTTTTTTAACAACGGCTATATTTCGTGCAAAAAATTGATTTGTACGACGATCTTGGCCAACATTGAACGTTACCTTAATCATCAAAACAAAAAACTAAAATCTAATGTAAGTAAAGTTTAACTAACTTGATCTCCAACTTTAACTGGAATTGTTTGCTCTTGTAAATCAGCTAAACCATATGGTAAAAAGTAAGTTTCTCCTTTTTTAACATAAGTAACTTTTCCATCGGGCATAAAATTTACAGTATCGAACTAAAAGAATACAAAATATTTTTGATCAAAATAAACATTAGAATTGAAATCTACCCCATTAGTGAGTGGTGGTGGTGGTGGTTGTCGTGCAACTACTGCAATAGTACCATCAACGCGATTCTCACCGATAATCTCCGAACTAACAGGTACCAGATTAATAGCAACTGGCTTTTGTTTTCGTTTATCTATTGTTGTTTCGAATTCAACCACATCTATAGAAACGAAAAGAAAAGAAAAAATTGTTATTAGTAAAATATCATCGAGTTCTAACCTCCTATTTTCGCTTGTTGTATGTCATTTTTATATTCACTGAAGTGAAAAAAATACCGACCATCACGATGACAACAATAAACAAAACCGTAAGTTGAACATAGTTTTTCAATAATGCCCAATTCACGTTGAGATTTATTATTGTCAATTTCGTCTGTATTATTGATATTTTTCATGGATGCTGCTGGAAATTGACTATGATCTAAAAAACAACAAATATCAATTTAAAATAAAATCACTTCTATCTTTGTTGCTTGTTACTTACTTTGATAGAGTTCGCTTGGTACAGATGTCATTGAACAATTATTTTTGTACAAGTAAATGATGAAAGACAATAAATAAATCAACAGAAAAAGAAGCAAAACACAAGAAAAAAGAAACTTGCTAAATGATGTGACACGATAATAAACTACGACTATACAAAATCTAAAAGATTATAAGAATAAATTTAAATATATAATCAACTATACTAGATCAATATGTAAAATCGTAATAATCTAGAATTTTATATGATATTTGCAATAAACAAAAATATTTATATTCCAGAGGTCGCAATTTTGCAAAGAAAAACATTAATCAACAATTTATAGGCTTCATATTCTTTGAATTTAGCGGATATTTCGACAGAAATCGATACTTACACATCATGATTAGATTATTCTAACGCAAAAAAAAACAAAAAAAAAGCAATTGAAGCACAAGTGTATTAAAAATAGGCATCAGCTGTTACTCATTTCCACGAAAATTCATTGGTTATTTTTATTTGACGAATCCAAATATTTCACTCGTTTTTAATAATATGTGAAAAGCGGTTGGGTACTGTTTAAAATTCTAGACTAGATAATGTGTCTTGAAGTTAAACAATAATCTATTCTTAATAGTTCGTCTATCTGCCAAGCGACTACTCGCTTTGCAACTAATCAAAAATATTTGTTTATCCACCACTATTAATACAACGTTTAACAGGAAATACTCTTATCCGTTCTAAATACAGGAGATGTCCTTCCATCCGTCCAAGTCACTATCGTTACTTTCCTTTCTTTAAAAAAAAATTTAATTGAAAATTTTTTCGCACGTCGTACGTATTACGGCCGGATGATGGTAGTTAAACTTATCAAAAGTTGTCAAAAAGATAATTATATTGCTAGAAAGAAAAAATACTGTCACGTATCTAAATCAATTAATCAAACTAGCTTATCGAAACATAGTATGATCGTTTCTTTTTTAGTTTTGTATAACAACAAAAGAGAAACAAAGTTATCTTGTCTTTTCCTTTCTTTTCAATTAAATGTAACTTTCATACCGATGTCTAGCAGAACGATGTAACTGTTTTATCTTACAAACAACAAATAACATGTTTGTTTCTTCCCGACGGGTTGAATCAAATTAACGAATAAAAGCAATTTAGACATCAAAATATGCGGCCTGAACAGTAGCATTGATGTTTGTCAATAAAGTCTCGTTGTTTTTAATTATTCATCGCTCTACGTCATATCATTTTGCAAACAGCGAAATCAACAAGGTTGCATCGTATTTTATATTGCAAATAGGTAATGAAACATGAAACTCGAAGATTAAAAATACAGATACGCAAAATCTTTGATTCGAATCATTTTATAAGAATTAGTAAACAATATTGTAATGGAATTTTTTCTTACACTATCGAATATATCATAGTAAAATATTATCTATAACTCAACAAAAAGGGATTTCTATTTATTATTTCCTGATAATGAGAATTATGACATGGAATTAGTAGCGTATGCTTTCCAATGTATGCGACTTGATCGTACCTTTCTCACCTATTCTATCTAACATATTATCTAACGTTGAGCCTCTTATTACTAATTTTTTTCCTTATCATTTTTTTAAGCTGTTGTGTTATAGCGCATAATCAGTTACGGACGAGAACGAAATATTTTTGCACGTGTTCATTGTTGACGATACGTATATATTCGTCGATAAACAACAGACCAGTCTAACAATTTCACGGAGTCTAATCAATGAGCAACATGTAATAAATAGATTACTCCCTCTCGTCTTTTTTTTCCTGGATAGTGAACCAGCTGGCATAATTCACCGTACACATATATATTCTTTCTTATTTAGAATTAAAACATATTGAATGATGTTTCGTCTTCCACCACCACCACGTTTTACTCTTCCGCCTCCACCAAAGCTTTCATCAGATATTTTCGATAGAAAACTTCTATCTCGACTAACATGTTCGTCAATTCGACAACAGCAACAACAGCACCGGTTATTCACTAATCCTCGTTTGATTGCAATCAGCAGTATTAGTTTTCTTATCGTGCTTCTTTTATGTACTCTATTATTTATGTTAATTCATTTCTATCGTCGGCAAAGATCTTCAGATTACGGTCACACACAAAAACCATTATCAACATTGAATATGAAACCAAAGAATTCTACAATGCATACTAGTCGTTCATATGAATCAATTTCATCGCAACACACAGGCGTTTATATTGAATCAATTGATACATCAGCAACAACTTTCTCAACAGATCAAAGTAATGTTATATGTCTTTATTGTCATCGAGAACGCGTTTATTCAAATGCTTCTCTTCCGCCATACTATCATACGCTTGACACTCTTTCTTCATAATGTTAATGTTAATATATAATTATGTTTTTTTTTAACAGTGATTATCATTGCTTTTGCTTTACTATTTAATAAAATAAGTTCTTGTATGAATAATCATTGCAGATATTTTGGAATTTGTTCTTTTTTTTATATTAGTTAAAATAAAAAGATCTATGAATAACTTTTGCTTTTCTAAATTATCTCGAAGGGCATCATTGTTCCAAAGGATTTTGTTAAGTATTCTTTCGTAGAAAAATAGAATTCAATCGGAAGCAAAATTTTATTTCTTGTAATAAGAAAGAACGATACACAAATTCGTTTTATTTCAATTCAATTTTTATTTAGAATGAAAACAAAATTGAATTGAAATCAATTAACGAGAAGAGTGATTTGATTGGTTGACTTATTTTGACTATGAATACAATGCTATGCATCTTGAAACTATAAATTTGATAGTATAATCAAATTCAAAGATCCCCACGGCCATATTTTGTTATTAATTAGTGTTTCATTCATGAAAAACTGAATCTAATCAATGTCGTTGAATCGACTAGTTGAGTGAACTCTTAAAACGATGCATTCAGCAATTGAAATAAAAAGAATTCGGAACTATATATATTTTAATTATATTTTATTATCAATGTTGATGAGTTATTATGGTTTTTTATGATCGTGAGGAAAAAATGCACTGGATATGTAGATTTTTTTTTGATAATACGAATAGCTAACAATTTTGGAGTAATTCAATAGGAATAATTAATTCAATACACGTTGGAGAAAAAAGAAATAATTGATTTTTGATCGTAAGCTTTCATGAGACGTTTGACTAATCTGATTTTTGAGTGGGATCATTTCTAATAGAAGTAAGACAAGTATTTTTTCCTTTTTTCGGTATTAATGTCTGCTCGTGCTTTTGTGTAGGTTTTCTAGTAGATTATTCTAATAGAAGAAGATTAACTGTTTTACGATCGATCTGTTAGTTCTTAACGGGTAATTATTCTTTGCTATCTCCTGTTTTTTTCGTGAAGATCTAACTTCGATATTTGCAAATCTATGCTGGAGTAAATCAAGTAATCAGGTCTTTATTATAACGAGAATAATAATAATGCATAAATCATCCACATGAACGTGATAAAAATAAGATTCTTAAATAGCGAATTCAGTATATTATCATTAAATTATTAAAATCTTGTTCATTAGGTGAATCCTATCACGTTTTTTCTTTTGCTATGGTTTCATTGTCAATAAAAGAAACTTAAATAGTCAATGTAGAGAGAAAAACAAGCAAATTTTTATAGATTAAGGTTGTTAAAAATCAAATTTCATAAAAAAAAACTAGAAACTTACATGTTTTATTAATCTAAATATAATTTAATCTTAATTTTCTTAGGAATTCACCGTTTTGAGGGGGAAAAACGTAAGATTACTGATGCTTCAACAATATCAGTGTCCTTAATCATATAATTGTGGTACGTATCAACGATTCTTTATCAGAGAAGTCCTCGTCAAACTTAGTGTTGAGTGTACCAGAAAGCGTCAACGATACTTCTCTGAGAGAAAACTGAATAATAATAATAATAATAATTACCATCACCATCATCAACAGAAATATGGCAAATATATTCCATTATTTTAGTGTCATACTACTGTAAAAGTAATCATCTAGAATTTACTACTTTTAACATGGATAAATTTATGTTTTTCTATATCGAGCTACTCATTTAGAAGCTTCGTCGGTAAACAAATCTTGTTTTCGTCTGCTTTACGTCTAGTGTAACGTAATGTTATTTATCAAATTTATGCTTGACATTCTCCATATTGTTTCTTATTGTCTTTTCTTCTTCTTCTTCTTCATATCAGTACAAAGTCCTATCTCTTTGTTTGGAGCTAAATCTCTACCAACATCAATTATGTAGATGTCTAATTTTTGATCATATCTAAGATATGGTTAAATACTTATGATTTATCTCTATCGAAATAAAAACTAAAAGTAACTATTAACTAATTATGTCTAGCTACGAAATAATTCGTTCACAGTAGCGCTTGTATTATAGTTAAGTTTTTCAAAATATAAAATAATTTAATTGTCGATTTAAATTTTATATAAGCAATCATAGTTACGCATGGGAACCATGCGTGATGTTGCCAATAAGAAACGATATTAATAATAGACTAGCAGAGAACGATTTACAATCCGTGTCTTATATTTTACTCTATTCGTTACAAAATTTTATTTCTCTTTTCTTTCATAAATAATTGTGACAAAGTTACTGACATTCAACATACACAGACAAAAAACGCATTTCAACCCTCACCGATAAAGTTTCTTCTGTTTCTTTTTAGAAAAAAATATGATCATCATTCGTAATATTACATATTCAACTGGCATTACACGAAAAGAAAAGAGAAAGTGGTATATATACCGGGTGATCCAAAAGTTTTGCAACATTTTTGCTTTTACATGCATCTCAGTTCAGATAGCAGAGAAAATTTCAACTTTAATTTTAAAAGAAGCGCGATTCAATCCTCTACAAATTTGTATCCACCTTAATTTAAAATAATAGAACTGAACATTCTTACGGATAGAATAGTGTGACTACATAAATTGCATCTACTTCCCATACAGTATTTTTAATAAATTATTTTTTCTATCGAAACGAATATATCGTTTTAAAAAAATAACCCACACCCACACTCTCTTGATTCTTGCTGTTCAGAAAAAGACTTTTAAAAGTCATCTATGGTCAAACCGAGTTCATTTTCCCAACATTTTATAGAAAACCGATATATCATTCTGTTTAGAGCTTACACGACAGGTGTCAGAACGATTCAGTTCGAAGAAACGTCTGAACATTTCCAAGAATGTTGTTTTTGCGATAATATTTCAGATAGACAATTTTTATTAGACATAAGTGGATTTAAATCAAACGCAGATAAATAACTCTGAAGGAGCACTGATGTGTGATCATATTACAAGTATTTTATTTTTAGGTGCCTGCTTATAACTTGGGAAAGTTAGGAAAAGTATCGCTAAAATATTGTGTGGGATTCGATGCAATTTATGTAGTCACGCTATTCGATCCCATAAAGACGTTCAGTTCTATTATTTTAAATTAAGGTGGATACAAATTTGTAGAGGATTGAATCGCGCTTATTTGAAAACTAAAGTTGAAATTTTATCTGCTATCTGAACCGAGATACTTGTAACAGCAAAAAATGTTGCAAAAGTTTTGGATCACCCGATATATATATATATATATATATATATATATATTAACACACGCAGTGAGAGAGAGAGAGAGAGAGACATACTGTTCATCTCCAAATAAAAATTTGAATTCTCAAAAAACAAAGAAAGAAAGAATTAAGGATATTTGTGCGTGTTGATAATTGACGAAGATACTATCTAGCTTGGCAGCAACTCGTCATAGTCGACAAAAATAAATAGAGGATAAGCAACTTTGTCAATATGAAAAAGAAGTGTAAAGGGCTTCACACAGTGCAAGAAAATGAAGACAAAGATCGCAACTTATTATTATTATTTTTAACTCAAATCGAGTTTAAATATACAATGATACTTTTGTTGATCGTTTTCACTTGTACCAATAGACAACAAGTGCAATGCATCGATCCATTGTTTACCAAAATAAACATCATTCGTTTCGTTTTGGTAGATTGTTGAAAGTTTTCTTTTACTTTTAAATAGAATTATATGTGGAATAAAATCTTGATAATTTCCAGCAAAAAATATATCATTCATTTTTTGTTTTTGTTGCTGTTCATAAATACGTTCAATCATTAGTGTACGAAGATTTTCTAGACGATTATTTTGTTGACATTTAACAAATAGCTTTTTACTATGAAATGTATCGATACCACGAAATTCTAAACAAATACGTTCGGGATATGAACAATGATAATGAATTTCTTCTTGAATACGTTTTAACGCAATAATTAATTGTTCGATTTGTAATGATGATTCAAGACGTAACGTCAATAGAGTTAAATGAAGCTGATGCGGATCGATTGATAGAATATGTGAAGATGACGACGAGAAAAATAAAGGATATGTAGAAAGTAAACGTTCACGATATGCAACATAATGCGATACAAGTGATGAATCATTTATTGGTATTGATAGTATATAATTCGGTTTATGTAAACCATCGGTTAAAGTTAAATATCGTTTTGTTGGTATATGATGGTCAATATCAATTAGTTTTTCATCTTGAGAATTCCTAATATATATATATAAAAAAAAAGAAACACAAATATAATTAGTCATTCTATTTTCTTGTGTTATGTTTGAATTCAATAGAAGACCTACTTTGTTTCAACAAGATTCTCATGTCGTTTTACAACATCGTAAATTGTTTGTTGGCTACCGGTTGAACCAAACATTAGATCGATACGTGACTTTTTGTCCCATATAACTTCATTAGCATATTTAAAATATTGTATACGATGTTTGGGTATAGCAAGGATATTTGTATGTCGATCACTTATTGTTGATAAATCAATTTTAAAATCAAAATCATTGAATGGTTTTTCTTGTAAACCAAGAAAATGATCTATGTAACCAACACGAAAATATCGTTTATCAAGACTACTATCCCATTCAATACGTGATATGACATCTTCAACTGTTTTCATAGAACATTTTTTAATATCTTCATGATGATGCTCATCTATATGAGCTGTTTTATTATTATTATTATTATTATTATTATTATTATTATTATTGGGCACAAATGGCAAGCCCATTTTACCATTTGTTGGTGAACGTGGAATAGAAGTATTGTTATTCGTATTAACAGATAAAGTTTGAATTTTGTTTTCATCAAACCATTTAAGGAGACGTGCATAGATAGGTAAGACCATTGGCTGATTCATTAATGTTTCACTATAGGACTGCAGAAGTTTTTGAACAAGCGAAATCTGATCAGGTATAAGGCGAGGCGCTGTGATAAGTATTTCAGGTGGTTTATTTGGATATGATTCTATCGTTATTAAGGGGAAAACAAAGTTTGTCTGACAAATTAAAACGTAAATAAATGCTTACCATCTAATTGTAAAGTTAATGAAACATCATATTGATCAGCGCGTATTTTTAATATATAAGAGAATTGTCCGATTGACGATAGTATACGAATATTATCTTTGAAATGAATACGTAGTAAATTTATTTCATCTTCTTGTCCGCCACTATTTGATTTATTTTCGGCCGTAGTGGCCATACAATTTGCAATATTCTAAGATTAAATATTCGGTTTTTGTATGAGAAATCGTGTGGCCTCTTGTAGCTATTGTTTTTCAATCGCAAATGTGTACTCACCTGGGTGTACGTAAAAGAATACAATCAATAGATGGATTACATCGAAGATTTTAATGTACTATCGTGTAACTTATGTTACTCAGATCACACGCTGACCTTTTCAGCCAGCTTGCCTGCCTGAATGAATGAATGAATCGATTCAAGAGAACTAGCAATAGATTACCATATCATCAAAACATTCATGATAAATAAATAGGATTGGCTATAATGTTTCAACCAATCATTGAAATAACTAGGAGCCTAATATTATATTTGTAGTAAGTACTTTTGTTACTCGAATAAATATCACATACGCAAATAGTAAGTCTCACGCGAGTGAGATTTTTATCAATAGCCAATAGAAATCCAGATGGTAACCCTTATATTGATGCATTCTTAACATTGAAACGATGTGCTTGAATGTGTTAAAATATGCAAGTTCATTATGGTGGTCGAAAACAGAGTCATAGATTTTTCGAACAATCAAAATGACGATGCATTTTTATCTTATTTATTTATTTTATATATATATACAGTACTGCTTGTTTTTGTACAAAATAGATTTATTTATTATTTTGTAAATTATTTAAGATACATTAAAGTAAGAAAAAAAAGAGGCACAATGGGTCGCCGACCAGCTCGATGCTATCGTTATTGCAAGAACAAGCCATATGTAAGGATTTTTTGTACTAAGCAAAAATTATATATATATATATATATATATATATATTGATTTTATGTTTTTTTTAATTTCCATAGCCAAAATCTCGTTTTTGTCGTGGTGTACCTGATCCAAAAATTCGTATATTCGACTTAGGTAGAAAGAAAGCTCGTGTCGATGAATTTCCATTATGCGTTCATCTTGTATCCGATGAATACGAACAATTATCTAGTGAAGCACTTGAAGCTGGACGTATCTGTGCTAACAAATATTTAGTTAAACACTGTGGTAAAGATGCATTTCATATACGTATGCGAGTTCATCCATTTCATGTCCTCCGTATTAACAAAATGTTATCATGTGCCGGTGCCGATCGTTTACAAACAGGTATGCGTGGTGCCTTTGGTAAACCATTAGGAACTGTTGCTCGTGTTAATATTGGTCAAGTTATTATATCAGTTCGTGTCAAAGATCAACATAAGGCACAAACTGTCGAAGCTTTACGTCGTGCTAAATTCAAATTTCCAGGCCGACAAAAAATTTTCGTTTCCGATAAATGGGGTTTCACCAAATTTACTCGTGAAGATTATGATCGTCTATGGCAACAAGGACAATTAGCATATGATGGTGTCAATGTTAAGTATTTACCTAACCATGGACCACTTGACGCATGGAAAAAACGACAAACCGTTTAAACTTATTTGTTGAAACAAATATTATCTTGTTGCTTGTTCTTCTGCACTTAACAAAAAGCAAAAACATTTTCTGGAATAACACCGTTTTTTATTTGAAAAAAAAGAAAAAAACAAGAAGAATAAAAAATAAAAACCGATCAGTTGATTTTTAATTTTGCCTTATTATTGAAGAAAGTTATTCAGACATACAAATAACGGATAAAATTCATTAACAAATATCATGCTTTCTTTTAGAGGTGCATTTTCTAATGATTTCAATTTTTAACGTAACCGTTTAGTACAGAACAAATTCTTTTTTTTTCTTTTTATTAATTCAAAGTCATGGCAAGATTTCCTGAAAAAAATTTAAGCATAAACTAAGTACATTCTACTAATCTTCAAGGCATTTGTTTTATTCAGGTCAACAAGGGATTACTAAAACATCATAAGACCAATCATATTTTTTTCAATTCATCAGAGACAAAATTTTCTTCTAAAAATGAGCTATTTTTTATATGATTATAATAAACAAAAAAAAACATTAGCTATTACATAGATATGTTCGTAAACAATTATTTCAACAGAGAAGACGGCAAATTTGGTTAAAAGCCAGCTGTAAATGTCGACGTTAAGTAGAAAATATGTCATCGAAATGATGTTTTCTGTTTCTTTACATACTTTAATAAACATCCTCACGCCATCATAGAAGACTGATGTTTTTTTTGTAATTACAATGATTAGTCTAATCGTGATCTTCGAGCTTGTCTTTAGGAAATGCTTGAGTATAAACAGGTTTTCTACGTGATTATTTGATGATGCTTGGACATTAGATAAACATTGGCAAACAGCATTCATCTAATTTATGAGGCCAATAAAATATCTTATAAAAATCCTTATGGAGCTTTAATTTTTTCTGATAGTTCTTTGCTTTAGTTAACATCGAACGATTAAATCAAGAAGAAAGATAGAAAAGCATTTTGAGTGAACATAATTTCATCTAAATTCGACAAAATTAATTCAAACGAAAATATACACTCAAGTATGAAAAAGTAAAAATATTCTATTGTTTTATTTTATATATCAAGACTTTTGTTACTTAGGGTACACTCGTTCTTTTGAGTCGATATCAAAACTTATAGTCAAACAATAGAATTTTATCTCTATACTGATTTTTTTCGTTTAGTACCGAGTGAAAAATATCTCTAGAAGAAAAATACAAAAGTCAACGTGCCCGTTAGATCATAGAAGAGTGTTTTGTTCCATGAGTAATGTGTTCTATAATTTCCCGCATGTGGTTATAGTCGACAAGGGTCATCATGGAATTGCCCATGTAGCCGATAATGGATGAATAATGAAAAAATGACCCATTATTTTTCGTTATTTCAAAAAAAAATGAATTAATGCATTATAATTAATTATTTTTTGACTTTTCAATGCATTTCAAAGTATTATTTAGAGTAATGTTTTTAAATTAGGAAATTCACTATTTTCGTACAAGAAATATTGAAAAAGTGATTTGACAGGTAGATGTTTGATTTGCCACAGCTTTCTGTGTATCAAGCGCTTTTCAATAAGAGTCGCGTGAGTTAATGATCTAATAAAAAATGTAATCTGAGTTACATCGCTAAGAGTATTTTTCGAATCCCTTTTCGCTGTTAATGGAAACCTACACTATTGAAAACTTGACTCAAAACCTGATGATTTATATCAGATTATCCTTTCAGCTTCCAAAATATTGTTCCAGGCAAGTCGAAGAGTTTCCGAGTTTACTCAATCGCTAAAATTTGCACTAACAATCAGAAATCCGACCTCGAGTTTCTATTTGATGCAACGAAGACTACTAGAGTTTTGAATGCTTTTAGAATATTCTTTAGAATGAAAGAGATCATCATCCTTAAACCTCTCAAAAGAAGTTTTCACTCTGCGTCGTTGCTCAATTTCGGATGTGCCTAATGAACTAAAACTGCTCACAGTATCAATTATAACAGATTAGATCATGAATCATTTTGTTTTCCAAATCTGAAGCCATTTTAATACTATTGAAACAGCCTTATATCATATATACGCTCTTCAACTGTTTTCGCTTTCAACTACAATTCGACATGATCCAAGTAGTAAGTTGGAATTCAATAATAAAAAAATTATTTATTCATTGTCTTTTGTTTTAGATTCTTATCGATATGATCAAGATGATACGTTATGGGATAGATAGATAGATATATAAGAGGGCTGATGAAAGCTAATGGTTAAGCTAAGTTAAAGAGATAGATTAAGGTTAACGGATAGATATAGATAAGTTAATAGATTAAGGCTAAATGGGGTTAAGCTAAGGGATAGATATGCAGAACCACAGAGATACAATTATGGTAATTGGAGTATCGATTTAATCCATCTTATGTAGCAAGTGCCGAATAAGAAATTTTCAATGCATTAAATAGGTTGCATTATCATGTAATTGAATATATTGCATTTCTATAGTAAAATGATGCATTGCAATTTCATTATTTCCTAAAATCGGCTACATGGAATTGATTATTCTAAATCCTGAGTCTTTTCTGATCTGATGCAAAAACGTAATGTTGAGCCGTTCTATGAACTATAGCCATGGTCTCTTTTGGGAAAAACATTAGGAGTGGATTATTTTAAATGGACATGACTTTTTTTAATATTCTCCAGAGAAATTCTCCAAAATCATTCTTAGAAAGACAAGACAGTATTTTTTGTCACTATATACATTTTCCTGAATTTCTTCAGTAGCTATTCAATATGCTGAGATCCAGAATATTTTGTGTGATTGCTTCTTTGTTGAACTATTTCTCTATCCATATTGAGTAGATCTTATTTTTAGTCTGCTGGAAAAAACAATTTGACGGGAGCCATGATTCTTCATTGATAATTTTTCGTTTATGACAAAACTTTTTCTTATGTTCCATATGGAATATGAAACAAATAGAAGTAGATTTTTACTGACAATAATAATTGACATCTATGTATACGTATATGTATATGCATCGAAATAATTTAAGAAGAAAAATTTCTAAGAAACTGTCCATAGAGAACATAAAGATTAATCTTTTCTGATTCATATTAGAAAAAAGAAACTTGAAAAGATTGTCTTCTTCGAGATATCTTTTTTAATATCGTATAATGCAATCACAAAAGTCATATTATGCTGCCGTTGCATATTTCACCAATATAAAAACATTCGATCGTACACATATGAACAATAATTTATTAAGTTGGAGAGAAAAAAGGAATATTAAAACACAATAAAGAACGTTGTTGCTAAAACAATATAGTCAAGAAAATATTAGTTTACATGATTTCCTATTGTTACGATCTTAGAGAAATTATTATCCTTTAAACTTGTACTTATAATTCTTATTCAGATGTTGCTGATACTTGGCATTTGCTCTGTCGACAAGGATCGCGATGTTTTCTTTAATAGTACTTGTAAAATTAATTTCGCTATTCGAAATGTGAAACAGTACATTTTAATTATTAGATTCGTATACTTTTATCATGTGAAAATTGTACAAAGAAAATTTTATTGTATGAAGAAACAAAAAAATAGAATATATTGATAATTATTTTATAATTATGTCTTGTCAAACGAGAAAAAAAATTAAAAATGAAATCATAAATGGAAAATAGATGCAGGAAAAAGATAGAACCGGCATGCCAATAATTAGTAGAAAGCCCCGAAGGTAATTTACCAAGGTGCACATGGTGCATCTTCATCACGACAATATTGCCAAAAGGATTCTAATCGACCAGTAGCTGGTTCCATCAAAGCTGTATATACAGTTAACTAAAAAATATCAAACTTAAATATTGTTAAAACAATCGAGCATTTTCTACTTTATTGAGCACAGGTCTTGATGAAAAAACATTAAATAATGATTCAAAAGTAACTTGACTTTTTCCTTTCATTTTCATACATTTAATACATGGTGTTATACGATCATCAAAGAATGGTGGTTTTTTCCAATTATCATAGTTTGTTTCAATTAAAAACCATAAATTATCTTTACCTAATGGTTTAATATCGTCAGAACCATTACGTGAACGAGTAATAATGACACCCTAGAAAGATTTCGTTGACATATTATTAGCACATGATTATATCATTATTATTACTTGTTTTGATAGTGGTCCTGCAAGAATGTAATAACACGGAGCTGTAAGTTTAACTTCAGCTAAAAATTTTACTGCTTGATCATAAGTTTCTGATGTTGTTAACATATCACGCATAGCAAATGTAACAAATGATTGATTACGATTAATATCAAATATCCATTCGATTAAGCCAATATAGCCACCTTTAAGACCATAACGTTCGTTCATGGAAATACTAAAAACGCCAGGTCGAACGCCAGTAATAACACCAATATAGCTAGAAAGAAAAATTGTGTTAATAATAAACAAAATTACAAAAAATGAAAAGATAACAATTACCCAGCAAAGGTCGTTGTTCGAAAAATAACTTGACCATTTTGAGTAAAATTTACTTGAGTAATCAATGGACGTAACTTTTCTGATAATTCCCATGTATTATTTAACATATCCCAGCTAAAAAGTCGATTAATAAATCTATTGAACACTCTATGCTTTATTATTTACCCCAATAGAAGTCCAAAATCAAGGTTTCGTCCATGAAGAATTTTTCCATTTTGATCTTCTGCCACAATCGATGTACATAAGGTGAAAATTTCATAGAAAATATTGTATAAAACAATTTCACCTACGAAAAATCGATTAAATATGAATTTGAAGAGCAGAAATTTTAATGTCTTACCCAATGGTGCTCCAGTTGCTTGACTAATGCCTTTCATTTCATCACCATACGGTGCGGGTAATGTGTCAGCCATAGCTGGCTATAGAATATTATAAATGGAAATAGAATATCCAAAGAAATTTCATGTAGAATTTACCAATTTAGTGTCAACCAGACTGATAAGAAATTGCAATTCAGGCGATATTGACAAAGCGAATGTTTTGATATAGTTAACTAAATCGATAATCTAATAAAGACAATAATAATCTATCTTTATATTAAAGAAAAAATTAAGTTTCCTTACAGCAGGTTTGTAAATAGTTGAAATATTTTTCCAACGTTCGACAGGTGGTAAATCTAAATTTACAACATATGTTGGAACGATTCGATCTGGTTTTGGTGGCCATTGATCACTCAAGCATTGTTCACCAAACTGAATCGAAAAAAAAGCAATTATTTATGTTTATAATAAAATGACATACATACAATGCCTTGAATTGAAAAAATAACCAACAAAACGATAATGATACGATAGTTCATCATCTGAAGACAGAGAAAAAAGACAACTGTTTGTGAAAATTTTCGCACTCGCACTACCTAAAATGAGAGATAAGATAACGAGACATACAAAAAAAAACACTTTACGAAATTAAAAAGTATTTTCATAACAAAAATGAAAGAAAAAATTATTCTCAAGATAAAACATTTAAACGAGGAATATTTGCTGATGCATTATCACTCTCTGTTGATTTTACTAACCCACTTGTGTTTTCGATATGTCTATATTCTTCAATAAGTTGATTGAGATTTTCACGTGCTTGTTCAAAATCAGCCAATTCTATATGATCCGTATAATGATGTACATGTGCCTTACGACGATAAAGTGTTGTAAAACGTTCTTTTAATTCAATAAACGTTTCTTTTATACACGTATGATTAGCTAGAGTTAATAATGAATATGGTAAACCATTCGGTGGTACAACACATAAGCCAATTTTCCATCCGTCTTCATTCCATCTGACAAATTTCATATGTTTTAATTTAAGTAAATCAATATTACGACGTATTTCAGACATTTGAATTGTTTTACTACGTAAAATCATTCCACATGCAATATAAACGCCATCGATTTGAGGTCGTACACGTAATGTTTGAAAATGTGGTGAAAGCGCATCACGAAATATTTGATTGACATTTCGTGGTATTGAAGAGTTTGCTGTCGTTTTAAATGGTGCTGGTATTTGTGAACTAATTAAATAGTGCATTCGTGGATATGGCACAAGATTCATTGGAATTTCACTTAAATCAACATTGAGTGGTCCATCGAACCGTGATGATGATGTTAAATTTAATATTAAATTAGCAACAATTGTATTCATTGAATCAAATGGACATCGACCATCTTCATTTACTTTAGCCGTACTATCACAACGTGATACAATGTCAATAAGTGAATCATTATCCACAGGTAAAACACAATCAGCGTGTTCAGTTAATTCACGTGTAGCAAGGACAGAATTGTATGGAGATGTTATAACATCATCATCTTTTGATGGATAGACTGGTGTTACGATACGACATACTTTTGGATACATTTCATCGAGTAAAGATAAAATAAATGTGCCAAGACCGCTGCCAGTACCACCACCCTACAGATAAAAATTTCTATTTTGTGAAATCATTTGTAATCAAATTTTTTTCTCTTTTGATTGTTAACGACCGATCTATTATTCTGGCTGATACTTAGTGTTTAATTTCAAGTTGAATTCATATATGAACTAGAAAAAAGATTAATAAAAGCCGGACAGATTTTTTTTCATAGATGCTGATATTTCGAATTTTTGTTTCATCAGCGGTTAAATCTCTCGCAAAGTAAAAACAGAATTCAAGCAGTGGTAGTATGTGTCGGGGTGTGTACTGATAAAGAAAATATGTCATTGCAAACCTTCAACCACACCCACCGTGAAATTTCGAATTGTTATCAACTTATAAAACGACTCAAACTCTTATTTATTGTTACACGCGCACTCACCCTATCAGCTCACCATGGAATGTATAAGCATAAAACTTTGTAGTGAATCACATTGTTCAGCTTGTCGACGAATTTCATCACTTAACATTTGTCGATATTTTTCGCCATAAAAACGATTTCCAACAGCCCAATTATTACCAGCTCCACTAACATCACGTATAAATTGTTCACCGTCAAATAAATCTCGCAATGGACTGGAAAGTATAGAACGGAGTACACCTTCTTCCATATCAACAAGGACAGCTCGTGCTTTAAGTGTTCGCAATGGTGATGGATATGGTAATGAAGTATTTTTACTTTCATCAACATTACGAAAAAACGCACTTAATGATGAATCATAAATGCATTTTTTTGAATTTGTTGAAGACATAAGTGAAGCATGCTCACGCAAGGCTAAATCCCAAAATCGACAACCAATTTGAGAACCACATTGACCAACTTGTACAACAATATTTTGTGCCATATTTACATATATATAAATAAAACATTAAACATTTTCTTTCATCTGAAAAGAAAACAAGAGCAAACTATTGTAATTATATTACGAGAAACTTGAGTTTATTGAAACAAATCATCTAAATTGAATCGTGCTTACTTTCTTTTTGCTCTTTCTTGTCTATCTTAGTAGTTTTCTTATTCTAACTAAAATCTACACTCGGGCAAGTTATCGTTGAACATATTGGCAAAGCAGAAACAAAAGGCATACTTCAGAAATATGCAACAAAACGTTTTTTCATGTATTACTAGATGCAGTTACATTAATTAGTGTAACGACCGGATTCTTTTTTAGTTTAACATTGGGCTGTTGTCGTTGTAACATTTCTGCAGTTGCATGTAGAAAAGTCGATTGACTAAATATAAACGCACTGATATGTCCATAAGAAACAGTTCGAACGAGACAGCCAGGCCATAGATCATTCATATCAGGTGTACCATCACGTAATATATACCCATCATTTTTACAAATAATAAACATAGCATTAAGCATATTTGATGCAACAGGACGTGCATAAAATTCTAATGATGTAAATTCATCCATAACAAGACGCATCATATCTTTAATAGGGTCAACAACAACAGCAGTACCAGCTGATTTGGAATCAGTTGATTTTCTTCCTTCACGTAAAAATTCATAGAATGTTTGATATGCTCTATTTTCATAGAACTGCTTTTTTAAAAGTTCCCACGGAATTGTACTTGAAAGAACTCCATCGCAAAAGGCGGTTGAACTTGTTGACCATGAAGCACATGATAAAAGTGATAAAGGACCAGGCCAACTAGCAAATGAAACAAGAATCAAAGAAATCGATCTTGAATATTCACTATTTTACTTTTCTCTCAATTTTACCTAGTAAATGCTAATGAAGCCATATGTCCACCTAGAGAGAAACCATGCAGAATAGGTGGTGTCAATTTCATTTTTTCACACCAATAAAGTAATACCATGGTTTCAAGCATAAGCGCACCGCCCATAATTAATAGATCAGTTACATAGCAAAGTGATGAACGTGCTTGATGATGTGGCTTTCGAAAGCCATAATAAGGATTTTCGATAATAATCGACCCAATACGATACTGTTTTAACAGTGGTTTAGCTGTAAGAAGTCGTCGCCGATTATAACCATGATCACCCGTGCCAGGATAGCATATACCTATGGGAATCGAATCAACGCCCAAACGATGATCATGCGGTAAAACAAGTTGAAAATGAGCTGTAGCTACTTCCGGTGGAACCTATTTTTAGATAAATATAAATATGAAAACAAAAATCTTATCAATCATACGAATAAAACGTTGCATCATAATCTCACCAAATGTGGAAAATGAATGGCAAGTGGAGAAGGAAATTTTGCATCTATATATTGTGTATCACCTTTAACTTCTCGTTTAGTAATTTGTATAGTATTTTCTTGAACACTTTCAGGTGGTACAAGTTTCAAACATTCACTTCTTACAGCAACTTTCGTACGTCGAGATGCACAAAGTTCTTGTAAATGAGATGGATTACCCCAACCACGAACAAATGTTTGAGATGTAATAAGACGACGAAACAGTATATCAAAGTTACTAGTCATTTCTTCGCTTTCTTATTAGAAATAACATCTAGAAAAGCTTTGATCGATTTAATAAGCTTGGTTTTTTGTTGTTGTAACTTGTTTTTAATAGAAAAAAACAAAAAAAAATGGTATTTTTTTCTGGCAGTAGATATAAACACACGAATACAAGAAAACTGTTTGTGTTTTTTTCCTAATAGATCTCATTGGTTGCATACAGAAAAAAGAAAATATTCTATTGACCGGCAGCTGAAATGTTTAGCAACATTTGAGGACCGTGGGGTAAATAAACGATATTTCGCGATTTAGATAGTTGACCAGCAATATCTTCAGCTGCTTCGATTCTTCGAAGTTCAATTAAACCTAAATTAAAGACAATGTAAATAAAAACAAATCAAACGAAAATGAGAACATTTACCATCGCCAGCTTCACCTAAAGCTTTACCAATTAAGTCGGCAGCACGAGCATCACCTTCAGCAGCAATAACATTTGCTTGACGAGTTTGTTCAGCCTATTTAAATTTTTTTTTCTTTTAATACCAGCGATAGAAATTTTTGTTTCAATTACTTTTTCGACTAAAAATCGTTGTTTCTCTGCATCTTGTTGTGCAACTTGTTTTAATTCGACAGCACCTGTGAACTCTGGTCCAAAACTTAAATGTGTCTAGAATATGAGAAAAAAATATTGCGAGTAGATTTATTAATAAATTTTAATTTAATCAACTCACAATTGAAATATCATCTAGTAATAAACCGAATTGTGCAGCACGTTCAGTTAAAAGTTCACTAACACGTTGAGAGATAAGTGTACGTTGTGTAATCAATTCAATTGCATCGAATTGAGCCTAGATTATCTCAATGAATAGGTTACAATAGATTTTCAAAAACAAAAAAAAACAAATATTGCAAACTTACGACAACAGATTTTAATACTTCATTAGTAATTGATGGTAAAACACGTTCTTCATAATCTAAACCTAACGTACTGAAAATTTTGGGTAAAATTTCAGCTTTTGGTCGATAGAGAATACGTAAAGTAATATTAATTGTTTGTAAATCTAATATGAAAATAAATTCAATCAATGGAAAATTTTTGTTCTTCTATCATGCACTTTTCTCATTACCTTTTGTTCCTGTAATCGATGGGACTGAACGTGGACGGGTTCGAATATCGAATATAATTGGTCGATGAAGCCATGGAATCATAAAATGTGTTCCTTCCCCGATTACATCAGGTTTAACACCTTGAAAACGGTCAAAGATTACAGCTCGGTGGCCGCCATCAACTACAAAAACATTCGTTAAATTCTTTAATTGCATTAAAAAAAGGAATCTTATTTTCTATTATTTACCATTATAAAGCATAGAGTTGGCCACACCGCCAGCTATTGCCAAGCCAATACCAAATCTTCCTAAATAAAAATATAAAAAAATATAGCTTCTGATGAAAATCCTTCGAATTTGACTTCCAAAAAAGCTTGACTTAAAAACGATTAGGGTTCGCCGATGAAATAGTCAATAAAATGCAAAAGATTGGCAAATAATATTTCATATAGTCATGGTAACTACTGACTGGAATGAAACCTCTTCGCACGATAAAAAAAAGGACTTATCTTACAAGAGCAACATATTTCATGTCAAGAGATATTCAATGCAGCACAATGACAATAGATGATTCTCTGAAAACCTTATATGTTGGGAGATAATATAAGAACAGAAAGTCTTTTATTATGATGAAGAGTTACTAAAGTTTCATGGAAAATAAGAAAATCCAAAGAGTGAACACAAATGCAATTATGAAAATTTTCATTTAACAAGCAAATAAATTAGTTTATTAATCATCTTACCAATAGAGTTGAATAATCGAGATGAAGCCATTAATTTTTATTTTTTTTTAGATATAGATCTTTTTAGTCTACAAGAAAGCATGTAAAAATCATTATCGATATTTTCTTCTAATGAAAAAACATTCCTTTTTGCCTTTCGACGTCTTTTATTAGCAAGAAGTCTTTTCAAAAGAAAGAAAAAAAAAGAGACGAAAAATGAAACATCACACGTGGAGAAACGCAAAGTAGTCATATCTCCGTCGATCCGAGAATGCATCATCGTTTGATCTACCTAACCACTACGGTAACAAACTGATGCAATATGTACACAGACAAACAGACATAAACTAGTACACGTAAGGAGTAGAAATAGATTGATCCAATAACGAAAAAGAACAAGAAGAAAAACATGAAGCGAAGTGTATTAGCAATGAGATACCAAAGATTAATACCAATCGACTGCATAGTAACAAAAAAAAAGGAAAACATGTGAAAGTGAAATGAACCAACCTGAAAGCAGACAAAAAAGAAAGAAAACATGCACGCGAGAGACAAGCAGGGATCCTATCCGAACAGAAAGACACACAAACATATGCACCGTTTTATACCTCTTACATACACGATAGAAAAAGCAGATAGCAGCTTAAATTTTAACACCGTTCAGAGGTTGTTCGTCGATTCGTTTGTCGTGGTTGACCACGATTACGAGATGGAAAATGTTCACCACTTGTTTTCAATGAATTTATCATAGTTATATCACTGTTGGCTCCTCCAGTAGCTGCTGCTTCTTTTGCTGCTGCAGCTGCAACTGCTTCGGGTGCTGGAACAGTCTAAATTGTATTCATAATGGCAATAGAAATAGATACAGCAATTTAAATTATTTTTCTATTTACAATAATGCCTGATTTTGTTGGAAAAAATTGTTGTGGAAATGAAGCACCATCAACTCGAAAATCTTCGAGACGTTTATATTTTTTCAAGATTTCCTCTAATTTTGAACCAATCTTCGGTTTTCGTCGAGAATATTTAAGAAAAGCCCAAAACTTTTCCAGACCATATAATTGACCTAAAAAAGATAATACACAATATGTAACTAAATTTTATCAAGTAAGAAAAATTTTCATTTTTTCTTAAATTTCTTACCAGCTTCATGATCACGGAGTGTTTCATTTTGAAAATCATCAAATACTTCTTGTCGAAAATGTTTTTCAAGACCATACGTATAAAATCGAAATAAACATTCAAGACCATATCTATTTACACGTAGAATCTATATTATTGCAGCGTGGTAAAAAATATGATTATAACATACCGATGTCCAGTTCTTCCATCATCAACAGCATATTGTTTAAATTCGTTGTACATACGGCGATTGAAATTCTCACGTAAGAAAAATGACCAAAAACGATAGAGTGTATTCATTTCCATAGATTGACCAGCACCCAATTTGGTTCTGTCTAGAATTCAACAAGAAAAACAAATTAATAATATGATTCACTTAATTCAATGAATTTCACGAATAAAGATCTAAGAAATTCTTCTCTGTATAAAATATTCTTCCGCATACAATCAACTGTTCTCTTTACAATGCAAAGCCGTGCTTTATTATTCAATGATGTACTGCTGTCGTTTAGTATTCAATATGAAGAATATATTGTGTAAGGATATTTGCTCAAAATATTGATCTAACAATATTTTTCTATTACCATCAAGACATTGCTGTTTATATTTTATATAAACTTGTTGAGTAAAACCATTTTGTTGTAAAAGTGAATGAGACGGATGTTGAAATTGAGGTATTTCAACGGGTGTTGAACCATAATAATCATATAGATTTGAATTACTACCATATCCACTGCCATACCAATAATGCGAATCATTATATGACGATGAATATTGTTCGTACAGATCTTGTTGTCGAGTTCTAAACAGGAAAAAATTGGAATTCTATTTTCATATACATTACAAATATCTTACGTATTACTAGACACTGTATTGCTTCTTTGTTTGGCCGCTGTCGTTGTTGTTGTGGTGGTGGTGGTAGTGTTTGCTGTCGTTGCTGTCGTCGTTCCTGTAGGATGGCCACGAGAATCAAACACCCAACCAACTGAACTTTCCACCGGTGGATTTTCACTATGACGAGTTTTACGCTTAAGACCAGGCGTCTGTAAAAAAAAGAAATAAAATACTTATTGACTCATGCTTTTTCATTCAAATTAAATTACATCTGGTTTAACAACAGTAGCATCTTTTGTAACTGGATAAAATCGAGCTGCATATTTTGCACGTGAATGTGGTGTTCGTGGTTCTTCTGGATATTCTTTTGATGCTTGTGAACGTTTTTTATCAGCTGCATTTGGTGTGACCGGTATATTAATCAATGAAACATCAGCATTGCTATCATTAGGTAATGAATGTGATATAAAATCGTTTGCTAACGGTTGTGCTAAAAGTTGAGATTGATTTGAAATAGGTAAATGTTTTGGTCGATAAAACGGTTCAACTTGTGGTGGTGCTCGATTATTTGAACGAATAATCGTAATAGCTGGACTTCGAGGTTGCTTATCATTTGAACTCGTTATTGCCGCCGACTTATTATTTTCTATAAAATTAGAAAAAATTGAATAAAACTATGTAACTATAAGAATTAAATCGTATTTACCTTTATTAGCTTGTGATGCAAAATTTTGACTTATATCATCGTTGCCATCATCATCGTCATCAGCGCTGAATTTTCGTCCACTCACCGGTTGTGATTGATTAGATAATTTACGTATTGCTTCCAATTCTTCTTGGCTTATTAACTTCACTGTTTTATCATTCTAAATATTTAACGAAACAGAAGTCATATTTATCAAAATAATATTAAATACAAACAGTAGCTGCTGCTGCTGCGGCTGGTCGATCATGCCACAATTCTTCTTCATACCATCTTAAACCATCATCAATAATTTTTGCTATTTCAGCTGTCATACGTGCTCGTGGTGTATATTCACCAGTGCGATCATGAGTTTTTGGTAGTTGTTTTCGATTTGATGGTGGTGTTGGTGTAATGATAAGGATTTTATCGATATCATCATCATCCAATTCAAAATCTAAGTCATCACCTTCTCTAAAAACATAAAGCAAAGGAAATAATATGATATGATGTGAATAAAAGAACGTTATGTATGCATATGCGTACGGCTCTTCGGGTAAATCAAGCGTTAACGATGTTGTACGACGTCGATTTTGATTATTTTGTTGAAAAAACGATGGTGGAAGATAAGATGATAATGTATTATTATTATTATTTGTTTTTGAATGAGAACTAGGCAGTTCTTCATCGAATTGAAAATCTAATTCTTCACGATTATCTGATAAATGTTTTTGTTGTAGAGTTATCTGATATTGTTGTTCTTGTTGTTGTGGCTCTTTTTTCTCCTAGATTTAAAACTTTACAGTAAACACCGAGAAAAGTTTTTTCTATTTAAATATATTCAAACCTTCTTCTTAGCTGGTTTCTTTCGTTTAGTTGGTACATGGCTCCAATCAACTTCATTATTTTTAGTTCGTTCTTTCTCCAATAATTGTGATTCATCATCAAGTCCATTAAGCATTGCATTACCTATTACAAGTAAAAATAATTGATGATACGACGCGACAAATGACTCGTATACTTACGTTCATTCTCACATTTCCATAGTTTACCCGGTTGAAAATCCGGTACATCAGGATTAAGTGCTGTTAGATGATTACTAACATCCATAATGAGTGGCCATCGTGTTGGTTCTGTTCGACAGCGTACCATACACTTATCATTAAGTTCAACAATCAGACTATCTTTGACAGCCTAGCAGATGAAAACAAAAAAAAAAAGAATAATATGTTTCTTGTACTTCTAAGAATATTTTGTTAAAACAAACCTCAGCAATAAAATTAATATCATCGCATAATGTATGAACTCGATTAAAACTTGCAATAAGTGATAACGGTACATAACCATCTTTAGACATTTGTTGTCGAAGAAATATATCTGCTTCAAGATTTTCTGTGCTGAAATAATATTCACTAGAGAATAAAAAGAAAAAATATATTGTAGTCGAATTGTAAATATAAAAATATTTACACTTGACGTCGAAGGAGTTCTCTTAATTGTTGTTCAGTGTAAGCCGGTACTAGTGGAGCTGAATAATCATCTGTATTAATATCAATATTAGTTAAAGGTGTATCAGTAGCTGGTGGTGGCGTGGTTGATTGATAATAATAAGCACCTTCTATATATGGCAGTACAAAAGAACAATCGTCAATAACTACCGTTTCATCATCAAATATAAAATTGTGCACATCACGTTTAATAGCTGTTTCATGAGCATTATTAGCGCCTGTTATATCTGAACCGGCTAAAATGAAGAAAAATATTTCACTACTTAAATAAATAAGAATCTAATATATATAAGATAACTTACAAGTTTCATCTCCGGTTGGCGCATTCGGATCAACACCAAGTGTTCCTTCGGTTTTCTTTTTTCGTTTACTTAATTTATCAGCATACCATGGAGGTCCAGGAATACCTTGACCTTCTTGATCATAATCTAAGGAAAAAAAGATGAACTTCCCATGAATATTATAAAAGAAAATATTGACATACAATAGTATGAATAATAATCTTGATATGGATCATACGTTTGTTTATAGGCAACTGCTGCTGCTGCTGTTGCTGCTGCAGCTGCACGATTTTTTCGACTTTTTTTTGGTGCAGTAGCATCGAGACTACGTGTACGATTATTTCTATTAGCTCCCCGTCCACTACGTGAACTTCGGTTACCACGACTGCCTTTTGTTGTTTTTGCTGTTTGATTAGCACCATTTTGAACATTTGTATTAGTTGAAGTTTCATTCTGAGTATCTTCTTGTTCATGCTGATCTAATGGCAATGGTACCCATTTTTGCTTTCCTTTCTTCTTTTGTGTTCGAGGTGTATTTGGCTGGGATGTTGCAGTATCATTATCATTAGATGATGTCTGTTTATTAGTTGCTGTTTCACCATCACCATCACCGTTATCTTGCTCTTCATGTTCTACTGATAATGTTGCTGACTTCTCTTTTGTTTTCGTTTTTCTTGTTCTAGGTGTATTTGGTTGAGATATTCTTGTTTCATTATCATTGGACACTGTTTGCTCATTCGTTGTTATTGATGAGTCAACAGTGGCCTCAGCAAGACTTGGCCAGTCTTTAGGCTAGAGAAAAAAGCAATTAGCATTCAAGGCATTATAGAATATGTAACAAAAATCTTTGTTTCTTACTGTTAAAAGAGCAGTATTAGGTGATTTATTATTAGAATTATTGTTGGAATTAGTCGATGAGGTTTGTTGCCAAGCTGAACAGCTGGTTGGAGTTGGTGTGGCTGTTTCGTTTGGCATTACGCCTCGAGTTGATTTTTATTCTGCAAAAAGAAGAATTAAAATTATCAAATGGAGATATTACTACGGAAGGAATGCATATCGAAAAGATGACGTTTGAAAATTACGCAAGTCTTTATAATTTACCCAATTCTTTAAAATACAATTTTCTTCAATAGAGAGTATCAGAAAAAAATCAAATAGTCTAAGCACGTGAGGTCGATTCGTATACTTTTTTTGTTTATTTACAATATGTGTGGGCATTCACATCAGGTGCGTATTTTATCTTTAGTATGATAAACTATGGATCATCATGGTGAATCTGACAGGTCCGATATTCGTAATCTTTAAACCAAAGAAAAAATGATGACTATAATATATAGAAGACCTCATTGGAATATATTTATTTTTTGTTGAAGCTATAATTACGTAATTTAGAATTTCATAAGATGAGAAGAATAGGAAAGAAAATAATGAGATCACAATGATGTCGCCAGAATCGCATGGAGCCCGACGATTTCGATAGATCTAAAACGACTATTTTGTCTTGACTTCGATTTTCTTATATCCATAGTCAATAAAAACATCTGAATATTCATTTGATTGTATCCAATATAAATATACAAAGAATTCAATGAAAGGACATCTATGTATGCGACAATGTAGAATACCTCTTGAGAGAGTAAGAGTTCTAAATTGTTGACGTTCAGCTAGACCTAAGGTATCGATGGCCCATAGTTGATCATCACCGAGGTCTCTGATTCCGGAGAAGGGATACTGCGAAACCAGCAGGAAAGTGCGGGGAAAACAACCGTATCCTGCAGGAAAACACTGGAAATCGCGACAATCAGAAGCAGTATTCCGGTCGGAATTTTTCGGTTGTTTTCCGGTGATTTTCCAATCGGTTCCTGCCTGAAAGCACAGGAAATCGCTTGGAATACACGAGAAAAATTCCGACCGGAATACTCCTTCCATGTTTTATTGATTGCCGGCGTTTTCCTGCCGTTTCCCGCCGTACGTGTTCGACCTAGGATATTTCAGATCAATTTCTTGTTTTTTATTATAACAATTTTCTCTATCATATGCCGAAATTATTACGACGTCGTCCTCATTCTCGCAACGCGCAGATTTCGTTGCGACGTTCACGTTTACTCGACAAAGCTTTTGATCACAGTAATGAAAGTTCCACAGAATCAGATGAGGAAGAAATGAAAATGAACGAATAATCTTTTGATATGTCAAGAAACTTCAATGATATATCAGACATTTTTGAAATATGTGAAAGTAATTGTAGTTATAAATTTATAAACGTTTTGTTGTACATGAGTTTAAGAAATTTTAAAATAGCATGGCGGGATTGTGATTCATTTATGAAAGAAATTGATGCATTTCAAGTCAAACATGCTAGAAATGGACTGATATTTTTAGATCTGGTGATTTCGGTCAGTTTTGCACAGATAATCGAGGGGGGAAGCGTATCGAGAAATTTTATGAAGGATTTCCCGAACTCGAATTAGAAGCAAAATTATTTGCAATTGAACGTTCTCTTAATAAATCAGCTGATTTTATAGTATGGGATTTAGCTAATTTTGTGGATCAAAAATATTATGAATTAACAAATACAACTAAAGATAAGAATGCTAATTTTGTTCAATCTATACAATTGTATCATTTAGATCTACGACACTGGGGATTTCGCTTTGATTCAAATTCAGAGAGACCCTATTTTAAAGGGCACGAGCGGCCAGAAATAATTACTCATTGCGAAACTTTAATCAAATATTTTCTCGAGAAGAAAGATCATTTTTACACAATATCTAATGATGAAAATCCTTTATGAATATTGCCTTCTAACAATCCTCCATCTGTTTTGATCTGTGAGTAGGGCTACTAAAGAAAGCGTAGGATACATTTTTATGATACGCATTCTTACCTATGTTTACTTCATGACGAAAGTACCTTTCGGTCAGGCGAAATTTCTCCAAAAAGGGGCTTTTTAACAATAATGCACCGTTTTTTTTCGAAAGGAAGGGGACGATCGGTTATGATTAGCGATTATTTAGTAATGCATCCATCAGGTTCTTTCTTTACCTTAAATGACAAAGAGTATCAACAAGCACTAGTATTATACCCTGACCTAGATGGCGATGTTGAAGATGTTGCTTATGTTAAAAGGACTACCACAGGATCTATTAATGTCGGTCACAACTCATATTTTGATAACTCAACGATTCTTGCACAATTCGAACGCCTATTTAAACTATTACAATTTAAGAGTGAATTTAAAAACCATAATATTGAAGTTATAGTTAATAACCCAGGTCGATGATTCCGGACTCCGGAACCGACGGGAAACGGACCGGAAGTTGGAAGCAGTATTCCGTTTGGAAATCACCGTATCGTAACCGGAGTGTTCCGCACTATTCCCGCCACCATAACCATTAGGAAAAATTACCGGAACCGCCCCGTAATCACACGGAATACTATCGGACAACTATACGGAAATAACTAAATACGATCGTTTCCACCTGGGAAAACTCCGGAAGTTCCAATCTTATTGAGATCTTGCGAATATTTCCACACACACAGATGCACTTACTCACCAATCATAGTCGCACCACCAACTAACTAAATGCCCAGCCACCTTCCTCCATGCCAATCAACTAACGCACTGCTTGATAATCATTCTCTAAACCATACCACACCCATAGAGATCCCCAGCTAACCACTAAAACCTTCAGATAGTTTGAGGATTCCTTCCTCAAAATCAACCGGGAAAGACTCTTAAAGGTCTTTCTAATTCATTACCTTTCATTTGAGGTATGGGAAAGCACCATTCAATCATTGTTATTAAAAGGATCCGTTTCATCAAACACCTTATTTGAGGTATTTCGAAGAGTCCTTTTTTCCACTTGGAGCGAGATTGAAAGTGTTTCTTGGTAAATGGCGACGAAGGAGAGTTCTAAATGCTTGACGGAAGTGGGAGTCATGAAGAAGAATCTTCAAGAGTCGTTGTAGAGAAAGTACAAGTAATGGTCGTTTGAATTTTTCAAATCACAGATATTGACTTAGAATTTTTTTCGAGACATTTCACTTTCAAACGGTATGAATGAGATTGTAACATATCTGAGAGAAGAGTTATTATGCAAGGAAGAGCTTTTAATGACTCTACTGTTGAAGTGATAGCTAGTATGCTTTGCAATAGTTGGTTAAAGGGCATTTGAGGGGTATAGAATATTGAAATTGATGTATTGAGAATACTTTTTGCTGTTGAATAAATAATGGAGAATGGAAATTAGGATGAAAAAGGTGTTTAGTTCGGGTGTTGAATCTTGAGACATATGTAGCTTTTAGTGTAAAATACGATGTCGAATGGATAGTCAGCACAAAGTATCGGCTGAATATATCTCAGTAACATTCTCTTGAACGGATTCACAACACTTAAGCATGAAATACTTACGTTTGACAAGATTTTGTTAAGTTGTTACTTTAAGAGATCCTTTTTTAATCTTCATGAGTGAGACTTTGGAATACCCTAATTATCGATTAATTAGCCACAAAGAACACAGAAGATCATGTAGCGAGTGGTAGCTGGTGAAGAGATAAGTGGGAATAGTCTTTAACAAAAATCTGCATGAAAATATATAAGTTTTCTATCTAAAGTGAAGTTGCTTATATAGAGAACTTTCTGCAAAGGAAATCGATGAATGAATAGCGTGCATGTGGAACTGGACCGTTTTTTGCAACAAATTGTAATTTTAAGTCTTTTTCATACTCTAATCGTCAACATTATAACTTGCAACAAATAGAAACAATACTTTATAATTTAGTGCGTATTATCGAAGATGTTTCAGCTGATAACTACCGAGATAGACTTTGAATTGCCTCAAATAAAAGGTATAAGAGGAGAAAAAACACAAAATATGCTTACTTTTACGCACTTTGTTTTCTTGCTAGTATGTTACTAGTGAATTGGGAAGGGCGTTTATGGTTCTTTCTTCAGTGTCCTCATATGGTAAACTGCTACGTGAGCGTATAATTAGTTGAAATACACAATGATTATTCGATCGAAGACCCATCATCGATGTTTCTTAGAAGGACGGGAAAGTACTTCTGTCTCTCGGAGTCTATGTATGTAAGGATATGTATTTTTCGATTTAGAGTCAGTGAGGAGGATATATTAGTCCGTAGCAATACATTTATGATTCTTTTTTATTTGTGAAAGTACGTAGATAAACCCGTAAGTTGAATCCCCATTGGCACCCATATTCTCAATTGTGAACTGGGTTAAGAGTTCTTACTTTAATTTTAGTTTATGATTTTGGAAGGATCTTTATCCCGATCAGTATGTACAATTCAAGTATTTTTATTCTTTTCAAGCAGGAGTTGGATGCTCTAATAAGCGAGCTGTGTATATGAGTATAGAAACCCGCGCTCAACGAATGCTAAACAGTTAGATGGCAGTTTAAAATGATGCGGAAGAGAGCCAATTTTTGTTTATCTTGCTTATCTGTTATAGAATACTTTTATAAGCTCTGAGTGAGACTCACATAGGACACTTTGATTATGGAGTTATTTGTCATATTTGTTTCCCTATGACTGTCTATTCTGAATGTATGTGTGGAATAAATATAATCTCAGGTCAATTCGAACGATTTGAACTGTTTTCAATCTTTATAGAAATATCTCGTAAGATCTTTCTTTGAAATAGATTTGAAAGATGTTCAAAATTCTCACATGTAACTCATCTGGTAAGCGGGCAAAGTATTTGCAGCTGTATTGCCAATGATTTATACCATAATGATGATGGACTGGGCACATAACTACTGCTGATTGAACTTTTATTGTGATTTTAGTCAATGTTCGATCCATATTACTGCTAAAAGTGGTACGATTAGAATGAACTATAGCTATGTTAGTGTGTGCTGCTCTATTTATAGGACCAATGACATCTATTTCTGAAGAGTCCGTGTAATGAAATATTATTAGCCTAGCTGTTTTTTGATACTTTCTGTTAGTGAAAGGTAAAAATATCAGGATATATAAAGAAGTCATAAAAAGTCTTAAAAGATGATACAAAAATTTTAAGCAATTCTGAAAAAACTTTCGAATACTGGTGAAAGTTCTTGAAAGTCTTCATTGTCACCGCAAAGACATCTAGAGAGCTTCGAGTTCGTTATACTCTTAAGAGACTTCCTAAGTGATAATTCACTTTCGGTAACATATTGCTTGAATATACACAAAAATATATTTCAGCCAAGACTCAGCAGGTCATATACATTGTGATTTTCCATAGCTCTTTATTGTGCGCCGGCATCACGTGTACGCAGGTGAGAATTGAAAGGGAACAAAAAATGATCTGTATGTCTGAATTCTTGTGTTTCGAAAAATTTCTAATGGTTTCCAATATTTTTCAATGTATGTCGAAATCCTTAGAAAGCCGTGGAAATGTGTAAAATGTCACCAGCCAGTCAAATTGGATATAGACGTAAGGACGTATTTACAGAGATCCTCAAGAAAAGGAATTTATCAGTTCGTCTCTGCTGCTTAAAAAAAGTTTCACAAAATTCATATTCTCTGTTGTCTAGACGTCGAAATAGTTTTTAGTAGTTCTATATTTGGAAAAACATGACAAAAGAGATTGTAGTTATTCTTATCGCTGTTATGGAAATGTCATCTGATATGCTTTGCTGAATCATAGGAAACGACGGAAAAGTTTATCATTTATTGATGTCTTCTGTGAGATCATTTTAGAACGGAAGTTCAACTATATGTGTTTCTTCTTCTCGAAATACAATGAAATTCATATACTTGACAGATATTATGCATTGAGTAGAGTGAGGAGTAGAAAAGATCGCGATTAATTTTAACGAATTACAAATTGATTACATTGTTAATATTGTTTTTTTTTTGGAATTCGAAGTCTATTAAAGATTATACCACATCAGTCGTTTTTTTATTTGTAAAAGCTAGGTTAAAATCAATTTGAATCTCAAATTAACTACATGTCTACCTTAATAAGATCTGAATCTCATATCAATTTGTTCTATTTTAATTGGCCACGCTTTCAATGAGTATTTTGTTTTCCTTTCAAAAGTTAGAAATATTAGACAAAAATCCCACCAAAGTTGTTGAGTATTCGAGCAATATTCAAATGAAATTGTTTGTAGCATTTAACGACTTCATTAAAAAAGAATCGAACAGCGCAAACTCTATCAATCGATAACTTTGATGTACTTGAATCATGATGGAATCATTATTAATATAAAATTGATTACAAGCGATTCAGATCAGCACAGGTTAGTTAAGAGCTTCAACATTAGCACACAAAATAATTCAGTACACTTGATGCTTATTCTAAAGTTTCTGCATAGGTTTTTATCCAATTTGAGGGTGTGGATGCACGAAATTATTTCATTTTTAGAGTTTGTATTTCTTACAATAGATTCCTTTCAAATCAATAATTAATCAGAAATATTTTTCTAATCTATCTCTATGCACTTTTTGTACTTCTACATGGCTATATAAGATGTTGATCTACCTCAAACTATTGATAGTATCAAGTGTTAATCGATTTAGACACAAATATCAAAGATACGAGCAATTATTTCCATGTAAAAAATGCTGTCATTTGCCCTAAGTTTTATAATTGTTGATAGCTATTGCTTAAAAATATTAACGTTACGCACATAAAGTGAGAAAATAAAAATAAAATTTTAACTCTTTTACTCACCATGTTAGTAGCATATAGAGTAAACACACACGAAAATATGACCAATTAAACTGTGATCATCCTATTCATATTCCACGTCTGTAATCCAATTTTAATGAGGTTTATGCCAAAAGTAATTGGTAATACATTAGGTATGCAATATTAATCAAAATTAGTTAAATTAATAATATATCGTAAAGATTTTGTGCGACAGAATCGACAAAAAGATTCAGTTAAATTCATTCATCTATTGATTTCAATCTAAATATGTTGTTTACTCGACTTTCTGTGATACTTTTTGGAAAGTCAGTTTCAATCCAGCTCTAAGCAGAAATTCTACAGCTTCGTACTTCAAATAAGCAATGTGTACTTATCCTTGAAATTCATAAATTTTTTTCAATTAGTAAAAGGAAACATCGAATAGTTCTTATTCGCCGGATTTGGTTGTTGGAACGGCGAAATCCGGACTCCATACCGGGCTTAAAAACGGCCAGATCCTGGCTACGTATCTAGATCGGAAACTATTCATATTCCTTTGTTTCCGATCGTCAAAAGGAAACGATCGGAAAAGTACTGCGGAATCCTGCAGCAAATGGAAACCATCGGAACCGTAGTACGGAATCCTGTTGTAAACGGAAATCGTATCTGCTTATCGGTTCCGGAGCCAGGAGTTAGCGGGAAATACCCTGGAAACGGAGACCGGAAAGCTTTTCGGAATACTGCTTCCGGAATTCGATGGAAAATCACCGGATCAGACTGTTTCCCACGGTACGTATTTGACCTGGGTATAGTAGCAGAATACAAAGCTCAAATGCTTATTTAAAAATGAAAGGTTTTGTGTGATTTATTGTAATCAACTGTTGAGGAGTATGTTTGTAAAAAGATGTTGACATAATGATGGTTGTTTGTTCATCTCTAGATTTCTTTTTTTAATCATACATATCTAGAGAAGAAATTGATACACATCGAAGATAGTTGATCATGATTACATCATGAAACGAGAGAAAAGAGGAAACATTTACATTGGCATGTATATCAAACATGGAACAATATCATGCATTATTGAGAATGAAATATTTTGTGCACGCTAAAGTCAGGATTGTAGAATTAAACAAGCTATTTAATAAACAAATATTTTCGTATCTTTGTAATTTCATTCATTTCTTTCTAATAAGACTACAAATAGCTTATCTTACAAAAACACTTAAACAGTTATACAAACAGTTTTTTATATTATCAATAACTTGGAAAGTTGCCTTTGAATTGATGCACTATGTTCTGCCAGTCTGTTTTTGAAGCAGGAAGATCCGCACGCAGAACATTGGTGTTTATAAATTTCACGTTTATCAGAGACATCAGGAAGTTTGAAATAAATTAGAAGTGTCGATGTTTTCAATTAAACTAGACGTTTTAGATTTCCTTCATTTCGAATAAAATGTATCCTCTATCCATAAAATTTACGAAAACAACTTTAATCCTCCGAATTCGTGCCAAGCTAACAACATAACCAACACATTTGTTTACACAAAACATATTCCATTACCCTAACATTCTACAGAATTCTGAGCAGAATTCAAACAAGCTACAATAGAATTCTGAGCAGAATTCAAACAAGCTGCAATAGAATTCTAAGCGTAATTGAAACAAGTTACAGTAGAATTCTAATATCATACGAAGAGCAAAAGTGATATACTTTAATCGTGCCAAGATGGAATTCTATAGAATTCTATTCTATAAGCATTGATTTGTTTAAAAATATTATAAGTTTACAGAATTCTGAATTCTGCTGCGTAGGCATTCTGCAACTGCTGACAAATTCAAGGGGGAAACAGCGGACTTGAAGTACAGAAGTACGTCAAAGTACACTACTTAAAGTAGCTTGAAGTAGCTCAAAGTATCACTCAAGTAGCACAAAGTTAGAACAAGTAACTTCAGATAAGTTCAAGTAAAAGCGAAGTTGAAAAGTAGGTGAAAGTAAATTACTTGAAGTAGCTTAGAGTAGCTCAAAGTAACTTCAAGTCCAAAAGTCCGCCGTTTTCCCCTTGTAAAAATTTCTAAAGTCAGATCTCAACAAAAATTCAATTAAAAAAATCAAGAAAAGAACTATTCCAAACTCGCCTGCCACACATATTTCCAGGGAAACATTTGTTCCTATGCGCGGTTTCTCAAGGTTTTTCTAACCAGGAAGTGACAATTTAATAAGCAGGAGAAAATATTTGTAACGTTTTTAGATAGAAGAGAAGCTTGTGCTGATGGCATTTCACTTTATTTCACTCTTCAAATCATAAAACCGCCTCGATTACATATAAAGCACACGCTTAAATACTCAACCATTTGAGAGAACGAAGGAGAATGAGAGATAAAGACAAATCTCAAGGACGGAAAGATAAGGGCAATATATGTGATGAAAAGAAATGGCACCATAAGGCCAAATACCATGCACAGACCACACTCGAGCGGGAGCGTTACACTCCCACGTGGAATTTAGACGCTCTCCGCATTTATCGTTACAATATTATTTTGCTTGCGCTGAGCTTTTCATATTGTTATGAATGTAAAAACTTGAAAAAAGAGTCAATAATTGTAAATTCATGAAATGTTTTCTTCTATTTGTTAAATCAAACTCATATGAATAAAACATTTCTGCCATGCACAAAAAAAGGTCGACAATATTAAATCAGAAAAATGCCGATATTTTTTTTAAAACAAATAATAAATGAAATAATGTAAAATACTAAATAATAAGAGTTTTGTTATATTCATATGTGATATCAGTCGATTTGAACCATCATAGTTACATAAATCTCGATCTCCACAACACGAAACACAACCCCAACTTCGACCTTCATTATTCGGGTCACAGGGCGTTACAGAATGTGTATAGTTTTGTTGCCGTTCACAAGCATGGCGTTTTGTACAATATTTTGTAATGATTATTTCATCAAAATTATCTAAAATGGTTTCTAAACTTATTTAAGAAAAAAATCTGAAATTTACCTGGCTTTAGTACCAGCGTTAAACATGTATCAAAAGTCGGTTGACATTCAGTATAATATGTTAAATTTTTTGCATTGCATTCTGCATTCGAATACTTCATAGAACATTGATAACACGTAAGAGTTTCGATTTCTAAACGAAATCATTTGAAAATCGTACTCATTTTTCTATTCAATTTACCTGAAGATGTAATCGTCAATAATAGGAATAGCATTAAAGACCACATTCATTCTATTCGTATGACTAGATGATGTATCATAGCAGGTTGATTTCTAAATAGAGAACAAGATTTGTGGTGTCTTTTCATCTTATCTTGCTAACACGCCAAGCAAATATCAATACTTGAATCTAAACATTCATAGTCATCCTAATCGAATCTCTGGAAGAAGCGGAAAAGTCGAGAGAAGACATTTGCCATCGATTTTTTTCCATTAATATCTTCATCACGTCGAACAACAACGAAAGCAAAACGGAAGTTAATTCATTTACACTTGTTAAATTGCTTCATTCCAATGACGTTCATTCTATTTCTCTGGTATATCATCGAGACATTACATCCTGGTAGCATTAGAGAACAGGCAAAGAATTGATTGATTTTGATGTGAGCTTTTAGACTTTTGATTCTAATAGAATTATCCGTTCGTGACTAAGACATTTGCCTATAATAAGCATTATGAATCAATCGTTATAACTTTTTTGTTTTGTTTTATCAAAGAATGTTTATTGAATAAGAAGAAGCAAAACAAAGTGAAACATCTACAGTTAGTCGTCTAAAAGTATGAGATAAAAGAGCAACAAAGTGGAGAATATAGCACCGAGAAACAAAAAAATCGAGAAAAATGTAAAAGGCCAATTATAAAAAAAAACAACAGTCTTTCATGGAAATTTTCTCATCTAACATTGCACAACACTTGGATAATCACATTGGTCATTCAATGCATTAAACCAAAGGCCAGGTGGACAGCTACGACTATAGAGAACTCCATTGGGTAAGCCCAAATCATCTAAATAAATTCATAAACAAAAAGAAGTAAATTTCACAATTAGTCTACTTTAACTTACGTTGTCCAACATAAACACATTCAAAATATCGACCTTGTTTACAATTTGATGCATCCGGAAAACGACCGTTAGCTTGACAGCGAAAATATTCTTAAGCGAACAAACAAAAAAAAACATCACGCTGAAAAATTATTCATCGATTCAATTTACCCGTTTCGCAACGTTGACCAGTAAAACCTGGTTTACAAATACAAACAGCAGCGACTCCTTGATCTTGACAAGTTCCACCATTCTGACATGATAATTGACTACATGAATGTTGAGCACGACTTACACTAATAGCTGAAAATATTCTCTCTCGAATGAATCATGAGATCATTAGAAGAAGACAAAAAGCAACATACAAAGCGAGATTTCACAGAATTGCCCAGTAAATCCATTGAGACATTGACAAAATTTTCCTCCCATTGGACTTGGATAACATAAACCACCATTTCGACAATGGCAATGAGGATGTAAAGATTTGTCTCCAGGACTATGCGATACTTTGTCTATTGCAATTGATAACAAAATTTTCTTTTCTTTTAAAATTAAACAAAATAATACTCACTGCTACTGGTACTCATTAAAACGGAAGAACCTGTAGCGGTTGGTAGTACACCGGTTGTATTACATTGTGGTCGAAAAACTCGATCAGGACAAAAACATGCATACGCATTAATTAGATCATAACATGTACCACCTCCCATACTAAATTTAGAAGAAAAAATTGAGTAACTAATAAAAAAAAAAATATTCTTTTTTCTTTACCAAGGATTTGAAGCACATTCGTTTATATCTAATAAAATAAAAATCTTTCATAAAAAACTTATCTTTTATTAAATTTTATACTCAACTGTTTTCACAATAAACTCCTGTGTAGCCTTCTCGACATCGACATGCGTATACTGCTCCACCCACTAATACACATTGACCAGCATTACATGGATTTCTTGTTAACGGATTACATGTTGACATAGGTGAAGCAACATGGCCATGCATTTCTGTGGCATGTTTGGGATTAGCGCCATACAATAAATGACTGATAGGAGTAGTTGTGTACATTATTGGTGGCATTGCTGTTGCTGTTGTTGTTGTTATATATAAATTCCGAGTTGAATCTAATTTTTGTTTTCATGTAGATATTTTTTGTAAAACAAAAAAACACAACTCTCGAAAAAACAAAACCTACTAGTTAAATTGCATGATAGACTGAGTGTACCATCTGGACAGATACAAACATAGGAAGGTCCATTTTGATTTAGTTGATAGCAAATACCAACTGTACAAGGATTTGATAAACAACCCGATCTTGTAAGTCGAGCTGAATGAGAGAGAAAAAGAAGAGATTCATTGATTATTTGAAAATTAGCGTGGAATGATATTTCAATTACTTTCACAATTTTCACCGGTAAATCCATCATAGCATTGACATCGATATCCCGATTTACCCGATAAACAGCGACCATTTGTTTTACACGGATTTGACGAACAAAAATCAATTTCTAAAAAAGAATTCGTTTTTTTGTGTCGTTCTTAACTTATTTAATTAAACAGACAAACCTCGTTCACATCGTGCACCTGTATAACTTGGAGAACCTATTAGAAGAAGAAGAAAAATTGATCCATTCATTCTTTTTCTTATCAAAAGAAATTTTATTCTATGATTTACATTGACAACAAGCCGAACCAACTTGTGCGGCATTACACGAGGGTTCATGCGTTGAATACGGTACACAAGTTCCGCCGTTTTTACATGTCAAATGAGTGCACACCGAATTTGCATCTATTTAGATGCAAGAGTATATATATCGTTATAGCTACTTATAAAATATCGTTTACTTGGACATGTATCAATTGTTGTAAAAGTAATACCATCACTATGACACATACACATATAGCCTTTTGGTGCTGCAGCAAGTGACAAACAACGACCTTGTGATCCACAAGGTAATGACGTACAAGGGTCTAGAATTTCAAGTGAGAAGAATTTTTTTTGAGAATCGAAACGAAAAAAAATTCTTACTTTTTGGAATTGAACAGTTTGTCATTTGAATTGTACCATCATGACATCGACAGATATAGCCATTCAGTAAATTTGTAGTTACTTCACAATGTCCAGGACCACATGGATTTGGTTGGCACGGATCTATGGCAAGAGAAAAGTATGAGGAAACTCTTGATAATAGTTTTTATTCTAAAAAAGAAAATGTAGAAGTACATACTTGGATCAGCACATTTAAAAACTGTGTTTTGTCCATCAGGACATTGGCAATAATATGGTAATTGCACTTGATTCGTTTGAATACATTTACCCGTCGGTCCGCAAGGAGATGATTGACATGGATCTGATATTATGCAACAGAATATGTTATGCATTGATTAAAAACTCGTCTGAGAAATAAGCATAAGACCTACTCTTATGTTCTGTACAGAAAGTACCATTCCATTCAGGCAAGCAATGACAAAGAAAACCGTTTTCTAAGTCAAGGCAAGTCCCATTGTTCGCGCATGGATGCGATAGGCATTCATCTAATTCTAAGAATGCATATAAATCTATACTTTTTTATTTTATTCTTTTGTCATCAATTAAAAACTACCTTGGTCACATGTCGGTCCGACAAAACCCGGATCGCATTGACACGTGAATGAACTAGAGATACCCGGAATACATGTACCATGCTTATTGCATACATCCGGCGTGCACACTATTTAATATTATATATTTATATGATATATAAAATGCAATTAACTACATGCTAGATTGATTTATTGATCTACTAATACGTACTTTGAGCATTTGCTAAATTGTTCATAAGAGAAAAAATGATCAAATTCGCTAGAAACATCAATGATGATGTGAAGATATTGTTGGATGCCATCGTTCAAAAAAATGTTCTAAAAATGAATATCAAAGATAAAAATTTAAACGAACAACAATACACAAAGAAACGAAAGAAAAAATGATATCATAGGATGACGTCTCGACGGTACCATTACGATGATCTCGATTTCTTTCATAATTTAAAAGGACTCAAATATCATTTAATTTTGAATAGAGTCGAGACATCCACACACGCACATGTGATACAAACATTCTCTGGTGTCTTGTAAACAAGAATAACATAACTTTTAGTTTATCGTCGGTGCATAGATGTAATTATTATTTCTAAGGGATGGTCTATGGTACTTACTGATTGATAGACTGTTCGTCGTATAAAACAACTTGATGTAAAAGATATGTACGATGAAATCTCTTTCTCACGATCTATGTTTAAATGAAACTAATATTTATTGTATTGAAAACAGTAGAAAAAAGAGAGAGAGAGAGAGAGAGAGAAATAGATGTGTCAGTAAACAACGACGATTGTCATTCCAATACAAATAACCTACTTTCTGTTCTGTTTATCTCCGCTGTCATCAATACAGCCGACTGCTCTTACCTTGAATGCCGGTGTTCAATACATATTAATGATATGTAAATGGATGATGAGAACAGAAAGAGCAAAAACGAAAAAGACGAAGAAAAGAGAAAAAGAAATCCATTGATTGTTTCACTACTCATATATGTACATATATATATATTGTGATCAAAAAAAAAAGAGAAAGAGGGAGACAGAGACAATTCACCTTGTTCTCTAAGTCGGATTACGGATCTAACATTAGCTATCATCACTATCATCATCATCATCATCATCCTATCGTACATACAGACAAACACTTTTGATCTATCGTCTCATAAAGTTTCTTTGTGAGATTAAAGCGGCTGTATTTGTTAAACAACATGACAACAAAAACAATAATGTGCGATTGTTTTCGTCTTTGTAGGAAAAAAAAGAATTTTCATTGAATAGTATTGGAACTCTCTTCCATAAATGAAATCGAATAAATAATTAAGAGCAAAGTATTTGTTCCCTGCTTTGTAAACAAATTCTTTTTAAACACTCACGTTTACCATCGCACAAAAAAGAAACAACAATCTGTACGCGCGCAAACATTCATGCAAGAAATATCGATTTGAAAAGTGCAAAAATATGTCATATCTATGAATAATACTTTGATTGATCGATATAATCTCTTTTTGATTTTTGATAATATTAACAAACTCAATGTTTATTAATGAGCTCATGTTAATTGTTTTAAAGACTATCGATGGACGGAAGAAAGAAAACGCTGATATCCTCATGCATATTTGATCCTAACTGTTGATGGATTGTCATGCAATTCTTGACTAAAAACGATAATCTTATTGATCATTCTACAGAAGAATTCGCTTTTTGATTCAATCAATGCGTATTAGTATAAGATACGATCAGTAGAAACTAATAGTGAGTGAATTTTCTCTTGCAGATTCATGACAAATTTAAGGTCATGAGCATTACAATCTATTAAGTGAATAAACACACATCTCCTTTTACATTTATCTCTGTAGCTAATCAAATATTTATTTGATTAATATATATGTTCGAGATTTATCACAAATCGCCAAGTATTAGTTCAAAAGAAGGAGAAAATGAAAAAAAAAGTTGACACGTCATCGATTGAAATTTTAGTTCTGAATAAACTTCAAGTTCTCTTAATTATTTCGACGAGCATCAATAATTATAACAATAAGTTAGATATTTTATTTCTACATGTTGATGATATTCAATATTTGTGCATAAGTTTTACATTTGACATTCATGGTTCATTCTTGATTACTATGGATTACGTATAGTGAGAAAAGAAGATTTTATTGGTTACGTAATTCCCTGTTTTGTACGCGAAAGGTAAAAATGCTGAATTTTCAAATCAGTTAGGCGGATAACTATTCAAATTGATTTTAGTCTACACCGAAAGCAAATAGCAACTTCTTGTTGTTGTCGAAAAAGTCTCGTTGTGGATAAATTTAATTGAAGTATATAAGAAGATTTTAGTAATCGACATATCTAATTCCGATATGTTATTTAATAGATAGAATTGTTAAAATAGATTTTATAATTCAATGTATTCTTTGAACATTTGATTTGTTCTAGTTATGCATATACATAATTTTACATGACGCTCTGGTATATAATCTTTATCACTTATTCGTTAACATTAGATACGAATAAAAGCTGGAATTTATATAATTACTTAACTTTGATATGAATATAGAATTAAGAGTCATACGATATCATCAATCCTTCGAGAAGTTTTTTCTTCATATAAAAATTAGAAACGTCATGTTTCGCCTTCCGATGAAAGAGTTGATTTCAAAATCACAACTATTCATATTTTTCTTGTTAATTATTTATATCTCATTTGGATTGAACGAAAAGCAAATCTCTTGTATGACGAGATTAAAAGCAAAATGAATAATCAGATTCATATGAACATTTTCTCTGCTAAGTGCTCAATTCTTCTTCAAGTTTGTCCCTATTAACTTCAAGGGTTTCTCATGTTCTTGAAAAATGATATTGTATTCAGTCTAGAAGCGTTATATTACAACGCGAGTCATTACTTTCTTTGTTTTCATATTCTTTTCAATCTGGTGGAAATTCAAAAGAATACAACAACTAATAAGCTTGACAAATATGTTCATAAAACTATTGAAGAGCTTTACATTTGAATGTATAAATCTACGTCATCAACTTGTTAACGTGATTGTCAGTAATGACGGATTTACGAAACCGTGAGAAATAATCACTAATGTACATTAGACTTAACACATACATTTGAGATTAAACTAGTTCATCGAATGACCTCGTTGGGTAATTTGTTCGATTGAGATGATGATGATGATGATAATAATAAAATATTTCTTTCGATAAAAAGATTCCGATTTTGATTACAAAAAAAATTGTGTTGATATAGTATACAATAGCTTAGCAAGTTTGCGTAGAAGATGATTTACTTTTTTTTTTTTACGATCAATATTTATTGACATGAAACGAAACAGAAGGAGATATGTATCAGTAAACAATGACAATTGTCACACACGTACAAATAGCTCGCCTTCTGTTTTATTTGTCTATAATATCGATATAAAAACATCTTTGTCCTTGACTTTCGTTGTTCAATTAATTAATGAAATGCAAATGGTGAGGTAAAAGAAAAAGATTATCATTATTGTCGTTTATCCTTGTCTAAACTAGAGTGTAATAGATTAAAGGACGGCGCCCTTCCGGAACAGAAAAAAATAATAATAAGACAAGTGACCATATTCGTTGAAGATATTTATTTACATTTGTGAAGGAATTATCCAATAGTCGGTTTACTGGTTACTCTATTGTGTTCATCGACATAAACACGAACACGTTCATCATCAATATCTCGGGTAGTTCTTGAACCCGGTCCACATACATGAATTTTCGATAGACCTAAATCAATCTAATTAAATGAAAATTTTTTTCGTTCTATGCGTTTCTTTACCAGATTCTTCTTTAATCAATTGCACAGCGTCATCAGCTGTTTTACCTACTAATTCTGGCCAACATGTTTTTATTGTTGGAGTTGTCATCTGTATTGCAAAAACGAATAGGAAAAAAAATTCTAATCGATTAAAGCGTAGCATTCATGATCTAATCTAGAAAATGAAAGGTAAATCAAAGTGTGAAGAAATTTATGCTTTGGAATCAAAACCTTTTTCTTTAAGTAGAGAGAATAGAATAAATGGAAATATCTACAATAGATACAGATGATAAACCATTGTCAAAATTAAAATCTTCTTGTACGTTTTAAATAAGTTTTAAAGAAGAAAAAAAAGAAAGGCGTACACAACTAACTAAAATATAGTAAAGTTAGTGATACATTAAGGAATAAAGTCTGTTAAAGTTTCTTTTCTGCATCCAACAATGTTGGATTAGCACTGCCACGTGTGGTGTATAAATGCTGATCAGCTGGTGTACCTTGTCCATAATCACCTTTAACATTCGCGATAGGTTCATTCTGAGTTTTTGCTGTATGTAAGACACGATCTTTATTAGCTAAAACTGATGGCAAACTCGAATTTGATTTGCCTATCAAAAAAAGAAAATAACATAGCGGAAAAAATGCTAATGAATATTTACTATCGAATAAATTTTTTGATTCATTTTTAATTCGAATGCAAACTTGATCGAGTAAGTTTGCTGATTGTTTTGGATAACAAGCACTGAGTGCAACAGCAACGGCAACGGATGAATAAAATGTTTTTCGTATAGGACCGCTCTTGTGACCAAGAAGAAGACCACCGAGACCAGCAATTGTAACAACACCAACTTTGGGAAGAAATGTTTGATCATCACGAATATAATCAATTGTAGCTATGAAAAAAAAATCAAAAATATATCTCAGAATTCTTTTGAGAATTTTCCATGGGCAAAACCTGCAGCTTTATGATTGTGTATTTTGTTGAGAATCATTTTAGAGTTTTAAGGGTCTTTTTTTCCGGAATGTACTGATATTCTTAAGCAAGCTTAAATTTATTTACAGTCAACGAGGTCACTAAGCACTAATAACAACAACCGTCATTTTTCACTTGTACATCAATGAGTAATATTCAGATATGAGTATATTTCTCCAAAATTAATTTTGACGAAGCGAGGTTTTTCTCGTTCGATCTTACTGAAAACTCTCTGATAAGACATTTTACATAAATTTTAATAAACAATAAAAATTAAGTCGGGAAAACTCATGTCAAATTTTGGCGTATATTTAATAAAACATTATTTACCTTTACTATGAGCTTCCCCTGTTTCTAGTCCACGAGTAATTCTTAAGCGTAAACCCTATAAATAAAAATTTTACTGATAACAAACAAATTTCTATAAATAAAACAAAAAGCTAACCTTATTATCATTCCATAATTGTTGTAATGATTGTCGTGTTTGACTAATAGACGAATAAAGCCAACTATTATTCGTTGACTTTTTTTGATCATCACCTACGCGTGGTGCATAACGAAAATCATCGTCAGCTTTTGAATCGTAATAGATTGGTAACTAAAGTAAAAACATAAAACAAAACAACAAATGTTTGCGTTTCAAATGAGGTAAATTCACATCGCGAACTCGTATAACACGAGAATTCTCTGTTGATCCAGTATTATCTCCTGAAGGGCTTGGCATTGTTTTTCAATGTAAAAAAAGCAGGATTATCTAAAATATCAAAACAAGCTTTTTGAAATAAATCATATTGTGAATCCAGAAGAGCAGCAGTGCAATCAACGTCAGTAAAATAACTGACCTATGAAAGGCTTTCATACTAAACGCCATCTATAGAGTTCGAACCGCAATGTGAAAAATATTTACAGTTACATTTAAAAATAAATTTACTTCATATCTGATTGTTCGACATAGATTTCGAACAAGCAAAACTTGAAAAGAGTTCATCTCTGTATAGTTGGCTACCTTGAAATTGCGATTCAGAGTATTAGAAGTTTGATTGAAAACTTTGAAAAGGACGAAAATTTTCTCCGTCTAGTTCATCAGATGCAAATGATTAAACTACGATCGATTTTTTTAAACTTCACACAATATATTCACTGAATCTTACTGCAAAAGCATTTTATACAAAAGTTCGAGAAAAAAAAAACGATCACAGTAGAGACACTTGATTATTAGTCGATTTGAAACAAAATAGTTTTTTGGGTGGAACATAGTCTTGATATGGCCATCGGTTCGATTCTTTCGGTGATTCGATTCTTTCGATAAATTCTATCTGATGAAATATATAATCTTGTGTTTGTGTTTTAATTTGAAGTCCATTAACGTCGTTCAACATTATTTGAAGACAATTACCAATACCATCGCGAACAACGAATATATAGCTAATAAATATTCAATAATTTAATATTAGAAAACAAAAGTCAATTAAAAGCAATACCGATTATTATTTTGATCGGAGTCAAAAATAATGATTGTTGCACGAAGATCAAACTTTCGCTTAGACATTAATGCCAATGTAAACGAATCATAAACAGTTTCAACGGCGTAAGTTGGCTGTTGACTTTTATCATCACGAGGAAACGTAGAGATAAGATCGAATATTGGTGCTGGAAAAAAACAGATTATCAATAATCTATTAACTTTAGTCATTAAATTCGAATCATCACTTGCTTGATAGTTTCGACTATGAGAAATGTAACCAGATGGTGAAATTTCTCAGACATAGTTCTACTCAGAATAAAACCTTTCATTGAGTGTTATACTTCGACTATCGAAACCGGCTCGTTCCGAATTTAATAGCTGCCTCGAATTAGAATCAATTTTGACAACTAACATAGTATCGAAAAAAGAGTTAGAATTTCCGAATGAAAGATAATTTGCAACATCACGTATAGAATTTGTATTACTTCCAAGATGTACTTCTGTCCATATCTCATGTGATTGAAGCGTTGAATTTTTTACCTATTTCTTGACCTTGGCGATCGTTTGAAGTACATTTATTGCAAGAACAATTAAAATCATATGTATGAATTATTTCGATTGGAACATCTTCTTCAGTATTATTACTTGATGATTCTTTTCTTACGCCAGTTATACCTAATGCAACTGAACCTAGTTCTGGTAAATTGAAATCTAATCTACGTGAGAAAAAAAAAGATACAAAGTAAAAGTATTAGGAAACAAATCGATGCCTACCGTGATTCTCCTCCAATACGAATTTCATCATTAATAGCTAAACTTTTTGCTTGTTCATCTTTTGGATCGAGAAAAAGTACAACATCTTCACGATCTGTTACATATTGACAATAGCAAAGCAGTTGATTACATACTGATTCTAATTTGATTATTCGTAGTAATGAACTGTTAGCTAAAATGAAGATAATAATGTCGAAATAAAATTTTCAAATACATAGTTTTATACACACGCTCGACAGCTTGTCGTTTAGTTAATGTAGATTTTAAACCTTCTAATTGATGTTCCATATCAGTACTAGAAAACAAAAAGTAAAGAAGCAAAATATAAACAAGAAAAATATTTACAATAGATCAGATGTTTTTCGACTTTTAAATTTTTTTCCATTGTGATCAACTAAACCATATTTTAATGCAAAATCGGATACTGGTCTACTAACTTCTTGTTTCTCGTGCCGTTTAGCAAGCATTTCTTGTACGAATTTACGATTTTTTAAGTCCATTATCGGTTTAGCATTTACTGTTGTTTTCATAACTCGAAGTATATGATCACGACCTTTTAATTCTGTTGTTGTTGTTGTTGTTGTTGTTGTTGGTTTACTCGTTTCATTTAAAAATCGATTCAAACTAATATCACTTGCTTGTCGATGAAGAAACGAACGATCACTATCTCTTCTTTTTATTTTGGGAATTATTGGTCGTGGCTGTACACGTTCGTCAGTTGTTGATTCAATAGGATCTTTTTCATCAATAAATGACATTGAAACGTCAATGTGCGCGTGGATACGTTGACCAATGTGAGGTTTTGTTTGACTATGTTCATCATCGTTAATGTCGACCTGACTATCAATATATTCCATCGTTCGTGCTCTCTTTCTCCCATCTGAATGAAATATACGAATATGGAACATTTTCTCAGGTGTATTATAGCGACTTACCGACTGATTTTCGAAAATTGGCCATAATTAGTTAGAATCGAATGACAACAGTTTTCATTAATGGAAATTTCGAATTTTACTAAAGAAAATAGATGAACGTTTTTGTTCGTTCTGCGCTAAAATGAATCCAATACACAGAGATCTTCGACAGATGTCCTTTGTTTTCAGTTGAAGATTAACCTGTTGACTATTACTGAAAACCATCCACATCGTGTGTTATTACTCACAGAAGACAGTTTCTATCAAGAAGTCAACAGCAGCAAACAGTTAGGTTGTTTTTCGAAAGGATATATATTCATATTAGCTCTATTTTCTTTGGTAGATACAAGCAAAAGAGTTGTTTTGTTGTTGCCTGAAAATTTAGTGCATTGATAGGATGACTTATTTTAACACATTCCGTACTACAAGACGCATAGAATCATTTTAATAATAAAAATAAGAAGAATTGAGATTTAAGAAATCGATCTGGTTTTGAAGGTTTTATACAATTAATACCGTATAAAACGACACTGACTCTCATGGAGAATGAACAAACAAACGATATAAAGTTTCGCATGGTTATGCATTTTTCCCCATTCAATGAAATGACCTGATGTTGATTTAGTGTTTTATTCAACTAACTGTTTGACGTCTCGTCTCTTATGACAATGACCAGTAATTTCAAAAAGAACAATCGCTTCTAAATAAAATATTAGTTACATAAGCGAAATCGTTTTTTAAGAACTAAAATTTCATCAGAATATCCTTTTATTTTATTACTCAAGTTCGAAGGGTCATACCATTCTTGTCTGAATATACCTTGGTTTAAAATGAGTTATTCTTTGTCCACAGAACTGCGGATAACACACCTATGCGAGCACTAGACTTTGGTCTAGTAATTATAACTTTATTGTACTGAATACTATTTTAACAAAATATCTATCGACGAAATTGTACACAGTTTTTATAATCAATCATACATTACATAGAATCCATTTATAATATTCTTTTGATTCTTCATGTCCATAACCTACTACTGATTTTAGAAGGCGCGATGACATATAAGATTTAAGCTTTTCAATTGTTTCATCACTTAAATCGTTTGCTGAATTTCGCAATTTCTGAAAACATAACCTGGATAAACATGTTGGATTTTTTAAATCAATGAAGCTGTTTATTAATTTTATGTTATATTCAGGTTGAGAAGATTTAAACTCTTCGAATTTTGTTCGAATTTCACTCGGATAACCACATTGGATAACACGACATACATAAAAATACATTCTATGATTTCGGCTGTTTGAACACGTTTGATAAGATACATCAACATATATGCCATGATCAAGCAACATAAATGGCACCGTTGAACGACTGTATAAAATTAGATGAATGATACTATTATTTATATTATCGGTATTAGTGATACGAGCGCCCTGTTTCAATAGGAATTCGACCGTGTTTTCGTTCGATTTAGCCTGAATACTACAATTGAACAGTAAAGATGAAAGAATATTATTTAAATTTTGCTTATGAGTTATATGTTTGAGATAATTCCAATAAAGTGGGACAGATTCTGAAGGGAAATATTTGAAAAATTCATCTAATTGAATTTCAACCAATGGATCATTTTCAAATAAAAAATTAAATAAAACCATGCGAAGTGGAAGACAAAATTGTGATGCCAGAATTGTTTTAATTGGTGCATCAAATCTGTTTCCTAATTTATAGAGCATTGAGAATCTGGACAGCATAGTTGAAGCATGTGGACATTGATCAAAAATTTTTCTATTCATGTCTGAAATATCATTAGGTAATGCATCCAAATAGTGACTGGCGTCCGATCCATGTTCGCATTTACCACATAATAGATGAATTAAATAGGAACGGTTCCATTTATCGCATTCAAGTAATACATGTTGATCATCAATATTCGATAAATAATTATCGATAATTTCCTGGCATTTACTATTCGAATACAAATGAAAGAGCAGCATTAATGGTGTAATATTATTATCTCCGCAAAATGAAAATAATAAATTCGGAGTTTTTCTAACGTCTAGTAAATATTCAATAGTTACGTCATCTCCAGTCATATAATATTCAAAAAGAATTATCAATATCCATGAATGATATTCGGGATCGTATAGAAGATTTCTTTCAATTAAAATTGATAAAACTCTAAATAGTTGATCTTTGTCTGGACATGTATGCATTAATTTAGTAATTTCGTAGGTTCCTAAAGGGATTTGTAATGATTGAATTGGTAAACTTAGAATTCTTTCACAGAGTTCAAAGTTTTTATCAAGGATTGTACGTGAAAGTTGAGTAGCAATAATCGCTGATAATTGATCAGATTTGAATCGTGACTTTTTATAAATTAATTCAAATAAATTGTTCATGTATTTTTCGTCAGGTATTACCGGTAATAGTCGAAAGAATGTGTCGACACAGAATTCTTGATTCTCCTTTCGTCGTAGATGTGATATAAACTCGTTTGTTTTCTGATGAAAAATTAAAGATTCAATATAATCCCAACGTCCCGTTGATATTGATGATACATTTTTCTTAGTTTGAAACCATGACCGTATTGTATTCATGTTTATTTCTTTATGAAAAAATGATTTTCTTTTCCCCTCTGATTTATACTGAAATCTTTGCTGCTCTTGAGCAATAACAGTGTTTGACACGTCAACGCGTTGACATCACGATTAAAATGCGTCATGAAAAAGAAAAAATTCCACATGCGTAAAATAAAAAATCAGTCGAATGCTTTCGGCTTTTATTTATTTATTTTTCTTAGAAGATTTTTTTCTTTGTGCTTTCAACACAGCTGATGTTACAGTCGGCGCCGTTGTTGGAAAAGATGAAACTACTGGTTTTGATGCTGCTGCTGTTTCCTCAGCGACTTCGACCATTTCGAATTTTGCACGAGTACCAAATCGTGTACGAACTAAAAAGACGTAAATAAATTCAGCACAAGGTAGAATTTGAAAAACAATTGTCTTCAGTTTTATCGGCATTTAATCGAGATAAGAATGTCTAAAAACATCACTTGCTATACTGAAGATGTTCTATATTGATGAGTCACATATGAAATCTTCAAGCTAGTAAAAATTTTTATGGCGTGGATGAATTGATTCATCGTTTACCGTCTATGTGCGTATATAATATGGAGGAAATACAAGACTCGCGTTTTACTAGCTAAACGAGAATTACTTCTATTGTCATACTAAACTGTAATCAACGTATTTGATTGAACTGTTTTTATAAGCTTATGAAAATTCACACTACAAAAATCAATTCGTTATCATACCATCTGAATTTTCTGAACAATCCCATATCTGTAAACCTTGTGATTGTCCACCAAAAGCATACGTAAATGGAAAATCCGGATTAACCAGACATGCATTGATCTGACCCTATTGGGGAGAAAAATCATTTAGAATAGGACTGAAAGTAAAATTTAAATTACCGTTGGAAACTGTCGTTCAGCAATAAACGTTACAGTATTATTTTCAACGTCCCATACTTTAACACATTCGTCAAACGATGATGTGACAAGAAGGCCAGGTATACTTGAATTCAAGCATAAACCTAATTATTCAAATTAATATTCGTCTATAATGACTTAGTTTTTCTCTTACCTGTAACGGCACCAGTATGAGCAGAAAAATTATAAACAGGTATTGTTGTTTGTCGTATATCCATAGCATAAACATATCCATTTTCAGTTGATGTCTATAGACAAACATAGCACTACTAGTATTTCTATCCTATTTGTGGGGAAAACATGGATATCTCGGTTTTAAAGTCTTACTAGAAATTGATTTGTATCAAATGTATTCCAAGTAACTCGTTCAATATCTGAATCGAATGTCCATCGATGTTGATTTGATTTATTATTTCCATCACGACAATCAACCATACATACAGTTCGATCCGATGAACCCGAAAGTAAATGTTGTGCTTCACTCGGATGCCAACATATCGATTGAATCTAATGAGGAGGAGCAGAAGAAGAAGAAAAAAAGACGCATCTTGTTTAGAAAATTTTATTCAATAAACCGAAGCACTTACCGACCTGTTTTTTATGTAATTTTTCTAAATGTAAAGCCATTTTCATCTGACTCAAATCCCATAAAGCAATAGTTGCATCGGCCGAACTTGATGCAAAAATTTGTCGTACAAGTTTATTCCATGTTAAATCAAGTACAGCAGCATCATGACCTTCACTAGATTTATTTGCCTTCTATGAAACGAAAAAATCAATGGAAACTTAATCTTAGTATTATTCTAAACATTCTTCAAACAAACTTTGGAACTATTTTTAGATGATTTCGATTTTTTCTTTTGTGACTTTTTTGCAAAGGTATGCATTGGTTCCATTTGATCGACAAGATCAACATCAAATATTTCAATAGCACCTTCCATACTTCCTACGGCAACATAATTCACTAAAATAGCAATAATCATTTAAAATAGAGCTATATTTCAATCGTTTTTATGCGAACCTGCATTTGAATTATTAGTATCATAGTCTAACCATGTTAAACATAATGGCATGTGTAACATCAATATATCATGATGTACATAGAGATAACCTTCTTTATCATTGTAAACTAAAACAATTTTTTTTTCTGTTAAATAAACATAATCTTTCTTCTTATGCAAAAACTCACTATAGACTTCAAGACTAGAAGTATCATCTTCAACGTGTGCAGCAACAATGAGATTGTCATCTGGTCGAATAAAATAATCTTCAGCATCGGAATCTTCACCCTAAATTTAAACCATATTGACAGAATTAAAATCGCAAGAGAAACAAAAAAGAAACTGACATCATCTTTTATTTCCAGTAATGGATCATCCCGATTGGATGCATGCATTGCAATAGGGCCCACGCCAGGTATAAAAATATCATTTTCATCATCTTCTTCTATGAAAAATAATAAAATATGATTTAAAAAATCAAAATTCTTATTATCCAAAACTTACGATCGTCTTTTTCCTGACGTTTTTCAATGTCCATCTCAACTTCTTTTGTTGTTTCTTCGTGGTCTTGATCGCTATGAAAAATTTCAAAACTGATAATTTCGTTTAATTTTAATATTTCAATTTACCCGCTTTTGTCTATCATACTTTCGAGTTCTTCTGGGTCGGGCATAAACTACAAAAATTCAAGAGAAATATTTAACGAAATCAAAATTCAACATGAGATTTTTCAAACATACTTTAATCGGAGTACCCTTAGCCGCTCCACGTTTGATCCATGCGAGGGATGATATAATATCCATCTAGAATATAATGATAATTAAGTATATGTTCTTGTAAAACATTAATCGTTATATATTCATCAATGGATAAAACCAATCGGAACGAAAATAAAAACATACGACGGACGGATGGATACTATGAAGGTATATATGCTCGAATTGATAGATGTCATCCCATGACAATATCAGACAAGAGAATCTTGCTGAAAATTCGAACACAAAATTCAATATACACATAGTGCTAGACATTTTCTTGCACAAAAAAAAACCATCGGAACTAATATCCGATATTTGATTTCGCATTGTAAGTGTTAGAACATATTGACTAGATTTTTTAAGATCAAAAAAATAATTGTTACCTAGCATGCAGTCGAAAAATTCAAATTTTATCGATCAACATTTTTACGATCGTCGCCAATCATTCGAGTCGTTCAAGCAAACGATTATAAATCGGCTGCAAAAACTCTTACACGCAATCCCTTTCAGATTTCTCTTCATCTGATCACCACGTCATTATCGGCTAGTTTGAGAATTTCAAGGCTTTTTCTTGCATAGATTATCTTCATCCAAGCACTGGAATAAACTCTCCAAGGAGTTAAGAAAAAAATTAATCTAGACGAACTGATAAATTTTGAAACAATGATTTAGTTTTTTTTTCACAACGAGAAACGCTTTAATTTTATTGCGCATAATAATATTCATAATAATAGAGAGAGAGAGAGAGAGAGAGAGAGAGAGAATAAAAACGACAAAGAAAATCGAAATAAACATCTACATAAAACATGTAAGTGCCCGCAAAAAAAAATTAAAATAAAATTGACATACGTAGATATGAGTAAAATAAAAGAGATATTCTGAAAGACATATCGTTTCTCTTGTTGTTATTTCTATTTTTCTTGTCTACAATAAAATGGAAACTGCGAAGACAAAACTTCTTCATTCATACTTCTGGCTTTCTTTTCGCGCTTGTATTGCACTTAAGGAAAGATCAAAAAGAAAACAAGACGAACAAACAACAAAGATTGTACCCAAAATAGTCGTCATATTGTCTACAACAATAAAATGAGAAACGAAACAAAACAAAACAAAACAAAACAAAAAATAAATAAATAGGCATACATTCATAAAAAGACTTCTTTTTTATTTTTATTTTTCATTCATCGTCAAAATTGTCAACTGCATCATCATAATCACTGGTGTCACTACTATTATTACTGCTTGAAGATAATGGATTTGACTTTTGGTGATCTCTAAAAGAAAACAGTAAAAAATAAAAATAACAAAACTGCAATGCTGTTTTTATAAGCGCTAAATGTGAAAGTAAAACGAGGGAGATGTCTATAGACAAAAACTAGAATTATTAGTAGAGGAAGAAAAGAGAACACTTGCTTTGTTTATCTACAATTGCTAAGAGTACTTAAATAAAACGAATGATTAGTGCAAGCATCGACGAGTTATCCTGAAATCATTCTTGTTCCATCATTTCTTTTACGTTCGATTGAGTTAATATTATAAATCATAAACACATGTTCTGATTCGTAAAAAGACTGATCTTATTATTCTATTCAACGTACGATGAATAAATCTTTAAATGATGATATTCTCTACCATCAAATGGGCTATGAAAGGGTAATTATTTTTTAATTTTATTTCAAATGTCATTAGTTGAAATCATTACTAGTCAGTAACGAGACCTCATAGAAGTGCCGACTGGCTATTTAATCCGAGAAAAATACTTTGTAACTTCAGTTATGTGATGTGGGGATGTTGAGGATTGCCTTTTTTTTCATGTTAACAAAAATCAAAATCATGAGTTTATTGTAAGCTATTTGAGTAATGAGTAATTTACTTCCTTTTTGACTCAAGAGACTTAGAACCAGGAATAGTATCAGTTCCATTAGCGGATTTCTGTATATATGAGCTAATTGCACGAATATCATGAGGATTAGAATGAACAAAGATTACTTTATTATTTCACAAGATCAAGAAGACGTCTTGAATTACTGCAAAAGACAAAACTTCCGAAAGATGTCCTCTCATGCTCGCGATTACCATTCAGTTCGCTTTTTGTCAATTATTTCTTTGCCTGTCTCAAGTGGGTAATTGTTGTTCGTCAACAACCGTCGAAGAAGATGACGGCTGAAAGAACAACTAGTTTTGCTCCATCCACGTCGTTCGTTTCCTTCGGATGCTATTCGAGAAAATTTCCTTGTTAATGACAGCAAATCATTGATCTTTCCTTGTTAATATAAGATATTATTTGTAAATAATAATGGCCAAAAGTTATTAGATCTTCTGTATGTAAACTATGATAAAGGTCGACTAGATCGATTCTTTGAGCCGAAATGAAAGAAAAGATAACAAAATGTATTTAATAGCTATTAAATAACAAAATTTATCTAATCTAGCAATAGCGAATAATAGACAAATCAACTGTAAATTGGAGAACATCGTGAAACAAAACTTCTATTCACAGACGCAAATAACTTACGTTTCATTAACAATTGCTGCACTTGTATCAGTTTCCTTTTGAATTTTGTTTTCATTCGATTGTTTTTTTTCACTAGTTTCATTTGACAATGATAATTGTCGTTGGTTTTGATTGTCTTCAAGTTCTTTATTAATACTACGCTTAAATTTAGTTGATTTACGTGATTTACGTTCTTTAACAGGTTTTGAAATTGATTTAGAATCTAATGAATGCGTTGGATTATTTATTGTAGTAGTACTCATTTTATGATGCGAATTTTCTTGTTTGACTTGTGTCGATGTACTCAACGCATCAGTTAAAGACATTTGATTTGATCTATCTATCAGTTCTTCATTGCAATCATTTTCGAATTTTTCATTAGTTGATAAATCTAATAAAGCATTTTGTCCTAAAGTAGGAAAAGCATTTTCATCGTCAAGAATATATGGTGCTGATTCGTTTGTAAATGAGGATGGGCCGGTAAATGTTGTGGATTCATCTTTATTTTTATTTTTACGTTTCAACCGTCTATGCTGTTGTTTTGTTTGAATGAAACCATCATCTTTATCGTCATTCTTTTCAATCATTGAAGAATTACTAATAGTTAACGATTGAGAACGTTGTTGATCCTCGTGTGAATTATTTTTGGAAGCACTATTTGCTGATTTCGTTGCTGCTTGAAGAATCGACTTTTTAGTTGATAATTTTCGTTCATTATTTGTTGATAATTTATTGTTAAACGAGCGACTACGATCAGATCGTTGATCTTGAGATTGAGGGACAGATTGTGGAGAAGTAGAACGGCGTCGTGAAGCAGAAACGATGGCATTCCAAGATGATGCAGGTCTAAATACATGGGCAAGGTTACTTTTCACGAATCAAAAGCTTAGAAGAAAAGTTTTTCAATTGATAAATCTTTTTTGAGTCGACAGTGCTGCTATTGTCAAGTCTCGAATAGACCATAAAAAGAATTTCTATGATTAGCTCATTCCCATGTAGCCGATAATGTAAAATAACGATTAGATTTTTTAATAGTCCATTGTTTTTTTAATGGATTATTTAAAATTTCACCACTTTTTTTCTGCAGTGCATTAAAATTTTAAAGTACAATGGAATAAAATGTATTGAAAGCGTGAACATTGTAAATTAATTAGATTCTATTATATGTTAAAATTTTAATGCATTACAACTACATTGTGTACATTATTTACGAACACAATGGAAAATAATATCTATTATTTTACATTATCCGCTATATGAGTTACTACAAAGACGTTGCAGAAGAGCATGGCATTACTTGAAACGATTATATTTTAGTATTTACGTAGGAATATTTTAATGACATAATCTGTAACAACGCCTTTTCACCTATAGAATACGCAAAATCAGTTCTCTATCATTCGAACCGTTCATTTTCAGCGTTTACTTAATTATAGACATTCTTTCTGAAAACTACTACTACCCAGGTTGGTCAAAACGGACTCGTTTACGATCTGTTTGTCGACGGTAAACGATGTCAAAACGGCATCTTTATGGCAGTAAATAGGCCGTATTTGCCCGTAATACCTGGCGCAGTAATACGGCATCGTAAACGGGACTGAATTTTCATGGTTTACGGCTGTTTGTGCTCCGTACTCTCATGATAATACGGTCCGTATTACTGCGCCAGATATTACGGCAAAATTTCGCCCGTAAAATAGTCGTAAAGTGACCGTCAATGGCCGTATACGGACCGTACTGTTCGACCTGGGTACTACTACTACTACTAGGAATATGGTTTTTCGCAAAATCTCATTTAAATGAGTATTCAAAATAGCAACGCAGTTCGAATATTGAATTTACTTTGTATTATTGGACACATTGTTAACTGGAGATGAACTTTTATCAGGTTGTTGATTGTTTATTGGTAGACTTGGAAAATCTTCGGGTCGAAATTCAAACTGTGATTCATCGTCATTGAGATGGCCGAATTGTTGAGAATCACCATCATGATTGTAATAATCATGATTATGATCTTTTCGACGTTCATCATGTTGTTGCGATGAACGTGGCGCATAACCTCTTGACCTTGATCCGTGATAATAATTATTATTATAATCATTTTGATGATACGACGATGATATTCGTTTACTATTTGCTGAATTTCCTCGCCCCGAATTTGGTATATAGGATGAACCATTTCGACGATTCGGATAATCGTAATAGGGATTTCGATTAGGATTATTATTATGCCCACTACCCCGATTTCCACCGCGAGATGACGATGGACGATGTGTTGAATTACTCATTCCATAATCTTGACGAAATGAAGAAGATCTTGTCTGTTGAGAAAAAATACGATTGGATTTTGTCATTGATGATGGTTGTTGAAAAGAAAAATTTATTAATGGTTGCTCACAATAATCCATCGGATAATATGCAGATACTTGTTCATTTGTTGAATAAATGATTTGTGATTCAGGATAATAACCTGTTAATGTAACTGTATTTGTTGGATTGGTTATTGGTAAAAGAACAATTTGTGATGTATTAGATGAAGATGTATTTCCATTAGTTAAGGATTGTTGTTGATGCTGAAGATTTGTGCATGAATCAATATGAAATTGTTGTTGTTGTGATGATTGAATATGAAATTCGATTTCAGGAAATTGAATATTATCGGCTATTTTTGAATTAGTTAAAATCATTGGATAAATTGATTGCACCATTAAAGACTGATGATCCGATGGATAAATAGATGCTACAGTATTTTCGTCAACATATAATGGAATGCTTGCTGTTGGATTTTGTACCAATGGTACAAATTCTTTGGCTTCAGGTGAAAGACCTGATGATGGTGCTGTTGTCATTTCTTTTTATTTGTTGAGCAGTAGAAAGAAAAAAAAAAGATTTCTTTTTTTTTCTTGTTTATCGAAAATAATATAGTAAACACATATTGATTGCAGTATTTAGTTGATTTTTTCTGAGTAAAGACCGCGTGGTTGATAAATAAGATTAGCGGCTTATCTAAAAGTATTAAATGTTTGATGAGAAGAATAATTTTTAGAATTGGATAATATTTCTTTTCTTTTGATTGATCTGTAAATGGAGGAAAATTCAATGTGGTATTTTATGGATTCATGCAATACGTATGAAAATATTTTGAAATTTTATTTTATTTACAATAAAACGTAAAATATAAATCAATGTTGTATTTTGTTTAATTAATTATCAGTTTCGTGCAATTAAACGTTGATAGTAGCGACAAACACGTGGGTTAGTTATTAAAAGTTTTTCTGTTAAATTTATACTAAGAAATTAAGAGTATCAATAAATAAATCAAATTCATTCATTGCTATGTTATATTCCGCCCACACATAATCTTGAGTGGTATGACAATTAAACCAATCGATATCATTCTTAATTTAATAAGCAAACGAATGATGAAGAGTTCAACAACAATTGATAAATGCTATTCAAATACGTCTATTTTCATTGATAAAAAACTGTTACCATAAACTATGTGAAACTACAATGTAACAAAATTCATGCTAATCATAATACGACTATTTTATTCCTTATGTTTCGAGTAACATTTCTTTAGTGTCTATTTATTTAATCTTCTCGATGAATCAACAGTTTGAAAAATTAGAAAGTGAACACCAATTTTCATCTCAGCACTCTTTTTAGATCATATTTCATTAACACTAAAATATGGCTTTAGCTTGTACACTGGGATTTAAATCAAATGATGATTTCAATCGATCACTTCAATGTGAAAAAACAGATAATCATATTGATGAATTCTGTCCAAAATTGAATATTGAAAATATTGCACAATTTATTACTTTACCACCTTATGCTGATGTAAAATATTGTTTAGTTTTATTGATTTTCGATAATCATATTTTTTTTTCAGCCAGCTCAATATATGAAAATGGTCAATGACAATGTTGATCGTATTCGAATTCAATTTCTTAAAGGTACAACAACATTAGCATTTAAATTTCGTAATGGTGTCATAGTTGCTGTTGACAGTCGTGCTACTGCTGGCGGTTTTATTGGTTTGTTTTTATATAAATTTAGTTGTAATTGAAATCTGTTTCTTTTTGTGTTTTATTTAGCATCGGGAGAAGTAAAAAAAGTAATTGAAATCAATCCTTATTTATTGGGAACCATGGCTGGCGGTGCTGCTGATTGCGCCTTTTGGGAACGTGTACTTGCACGTCATTGTCGTATCTATGAATTACGTAATAAAGAAAAGATTTCCGTTGCAGCTGCTTCAAAAATTCTTGCAAATATGGTCTTTGAATATCGTGGCATGGGCCTATCAATGGGCACAATGATTGTTGGCTGGGATAAACGAGTGTGTTTATATACGTAATCAGAGAATAATATCGTCTATTGATTTAAAATAGGGCCCTGGCTTATATATGGTATCTGATGATGGTGAACGTATTAGTGATAATATATTTTCTGTTGGTAGTGGTTCAATCTATGCATATAGTATTCTTGATGCTACTTATAAGTAACAGATTTAACAAGCTTTGCTATTTATACATATATATTCTTTGGTAGATACGAAATGAGTACAGCTGATGCTATTGATCTTGCTCGTCGTGCTATTGTACATGCTGCTCATCGTGATGCAGCTTCAGGCAACATCGTTCGAAGTAATAATTAGCTTTTCGTTATTGATTATATCGTACATGTGTCTTTTCTTTCTTTTATAGTTTATCATATGAAAGAAACCGGTTGGGAAAAGATCGAAGAAAAAGATACCAACGATTATATGTATCAATTTCGTGAAGATAAAACAATGAATTTTTAAATAAATTCATCTGTTATTTAACTATGAACTCTTATGCTGTTATTATTATTTTTCTTTTTCCTCTTCTTTTATTTCAACCACGACATGTGAATAAAAACACATACAAACTAGGAATTTCATCTTCTTCTCAGAACAAAATGTACTCCAATAAAACAAAGGTTTTCTCTTTTATCCATGTAATCGTGATATACAGTGTTGGTCGATGCAATTCGGATTCTTTTTTACTAGTGATTCGAATAGCGAATAAAGTTCTCTTTATTGCATAACAAAACTTTTAAAGATAAGCACTTTAAAGCTAGAGGTATTACAAAGCGAAATTTATTAAATAACGTTTAAAAAAAAAGATGGGACTACGTATAGTCAATACTCTTGAAATCTAATTTTTATGTAGTGTTCTTTGAACTTTATGCTATATAGAAATCGTGTTTAGATTTATGGTAAAATCGACGTACCCTAAGCAAAGTATATCTATTTAATATAATTAACCGGTACTGCGTTAAATAGCGATCCTATATGTCATGGGTTAATAATTTCCGTTGGACGAGAAGATCAAGTTCAGTTTATTTTCATAAAACTCAATCTTCGCCGGTAGAAATAACTAACAATACTAGAATTTATTTTTTGTTACATGATAGATTTGAATAAAAATAACATGGTAAGGTATACAACGCTGTCTAAAATTAACATAATTTCCTGTTGGACTAAGTCACTTTTATTGTTAACGCTTTCATTGATCATTTGCCTCCGTCGCAATATAGAAAATTACAAAATCAACACATCTAGACTGTTGTTTTCGATATTTAATGATTCGTTTTGCCCTCCATTAATATGGCCTTCAAAAAGAAAAAAAACGTAAAGGTAGCTATAAAAATGAATCATAGAGAATATAGGTTATTCTATAAGTACTTTTAAATTGGGTCATAACCTTCGAGCCTCCTTTTCTTATAATAGTCGCAATAGACGAGAGAAATACACTCACCATTTTAGTATTAGTGTTATTTTAGTAGTAGAAAATTCAAGAAACTGATGTCGATAAACATGTTCAGTAGTATAATCTACACAACGGTGAGCGTACGTAGGCGGAAAGAATGATCGCTATTCTAATTGAATGCTTTTCTCGATTCATCGATAGAAAAGTATCTTTTTTGAGACTGTTTGAAAAATTTCTGAACAGTCAGTTTTACGTCTTATGAATTAGTGAATCGTTCTTTTACTTCTACTATAAGTCGGTTTTATTTGTGTCCTGCCAGTTAGCTGTTATGTTTCAGAATAAACAGTCGCTTAAATGGAGTGGGTGTCCCGTTTCTTTTTCGACTTAAAATTTAATTAAATTGGCGTTAGTCAGGTAGCTTAAAATCTCGTACGAACATGAGTGAATCCGATTAATATTAATAATGCAACAAATAACATGTATTTGACACTAGACTGTAGGAGTGAGAGAAAAAAGTTGATTTATCATAGAACTCTGTGATGAATCGGATTGTCAAGAATAATTCTTTTGTAAATCATCATTAGTGTCAAAACCAGTGCAACAAGCCATTATAATAATCGTACTCAGCATGTTTTGTCGATGTAAACACCCGACTAAGACTTTCTAATGGCAATTTCAATTATCTGATGAGTGTATCAACAAACAATTCTGTTTGTAGTCGCTATTAATCGAAAGGATATATGACAACGTATAATTAGCATCTTAAAATTCAAGCATATAAAATAATCTGCGTACATATATACTTTTCTCAAGTAAGAATGTAACTCAATTAAATTCATACGATAATAAACATTACTCTGCGATCCACGAAATATGTGACTGTTAATGGATTACATGCAAATAATTCTAAATGAAAACTCGCACACGAATAAGAGAAAGATGCTGTAAAAATATATTAATATGAAGCATAGTATAGAATTATCAAAGGACGAGAGAAAACATGTTGCATATTATGTTACTAGTTTCACTGATAATCTCGTTAAATTTGATCAAACAGTATCTATTTGACAGCTCCATGTAGAAGACATAAGATGAAATCTTTCTAACTTAATTTACAACTCATTATTAACGCATGATAATAATATTATCGCTATTTCCATTCAACTCCGCATTTAGCTTTGCCAGTCAATAGTAGCGAGCCATGCGTTTTTGCAGTCGCTTGAAAATTACTTTAGAAAAACTTCGTCACATTAGTATGTATTAATCAAATTAATACCAATTCACTCTTCTACTATTAATATAAAATTGACTCCCGGTATTTTCATGTTCAACGTGCGACATTTAGAAAGAGTGAACACGCTTGATTATTGAGCCGAAACTCAACAGAATAATAATATTTTAATGATTCTCTTCTTTGGCCCTCGAAAGTGCAAAATTCTTTCGAGTCACATAAAGAATAAAATCATGTTCTTTTGAACATAAATATTTTCTCCGAAGGTTTTCATCATCGTTCTTTTTTTAATTTTTTTTTTGAAAATGCACTAATCAACATATTGATGCAAGTATATAGAAACGAAGTCAGCTCGAGGTGCCTACATTTTTTTCTTTTCAAGTAAGGAAAGCGTTGATAGATACTATGATAATAGTTATTGAATGCGGAGATAATTACATTGTAGATAAAAAGATGTGGCAAATCATTTACGAGAATGATAGGCATGTACTATGCTAAAAATAAATCCGATCTCTATATTACAAAACCGCATTGATGCGTTTCATGTATTTTTTTGTTTTTATAAGTAATTTGTGAAAATTTAGCTTGGATGATAATTAGTAGTGTGACGTGAAAACCATTAGTTTAATTATCGTCGCTTTAGAAAGCATATTCATGTTCTAGAATCTGATAAAGAAGATCGATTGTGATTTTATTTGAATATTCTTATCTAAGAAGATATTTCGTACTTGAGATGCTAACGTATAAGCCATAGTTAAACTATCATCACTCATTAACAACTATCGCTCGTCTACCGACTCGCTCAGCTCTTTCTCGTAGAAGTTCTATTTCTAAATGTCAGGGACTTATTATCTTATTGTGTACAAAAGTTTGTTTTTAATGTAAATTATACACAATATAGCAATCAGCAGATATTTATAATATATGTTAAGTAGAACGTCGGATATTTCAAGAGATAGCAATACACTTAGAAAACTACATGAGTTGTTACATCAAAGAAGAAAGACAATAAAGGAAAAAACTTAGAGAACACACAAGGGAAAATGTCTGTTAGAACGGAAGACAATCAACAATTCTAATAATTAACGTATATGTAAAGAATGAAAGAATAATAGCATGAACATATATAGATAGTCCCTGCAGTATGATTTCAATTTATGGCATGATTTGTGTACGTGCTATAAGACTGGACTCTCAGCAAATTATTTATTCACACAATTTCGAAAAGTAAAAGAAGCACATTTTCGTTGTGTCTTTCTGTCAAGTTCATCTAGACGTTTCAGTTCAGCATCCTGAGCAGAAGAAGGCCGAACTTGTAGAACCTTTATGTCGACAGATTGAGGAATGGCCACATCTTCCGCTCTCTTCACTCTACTAAGCGGTACATATATTGATGTTACTTGCAATGTTTCGACTGGAATTTGAAGATCGACCACAATTTTGTTCGCTGTGAGTCCTTGAGCCTTATAAATAGTTATGGCGAAGGTAGGTACGATTAGCAATTGCGTCCTTGTAACTTGAAACACTTCCGGAACTTTTCTGTTTCCTTGTCCACGTTCAAACAACTGACCAATGAGTTGCTTGATGGGAACACTAAATTGACTACTGAGATAGGAATCAGTTTGGAAGGAAGACGACCATCGAGACTGGCTTTCACTTTTGATGTGTGAATTTCCACGAATGCGTAAAATGGTTTACGGACGTAGATCATATTTGAGGGAAACACCTTACTGTTCACCTTGAAAGCAGTCGAATTCTCCTGATCATCGTATACGAGCTCTCGAGAAATTCCTTGAGTGCCGTTCGAGAGCCCTAGTTCACAGGCGATATTATCAGTAAGAAGTACAAGCATGCTTGGTACAATAGGTAAAAGATCGGGAAGAAGCTCTGTCTTGTTGTCAGGTAGATGGTTTTAACGTAAAGTTCCTTTTGAGAACAACATCTACGAATCGTTCATTTCTATGTATGATACCTATTTATACATTTAACTATTAACGATATCTTAGTGTTAAACCTTTGTCTTTCAGAAGAGGCATTTAGTGAAGCCTATTAAATGCTGTTATAGCTACATTAGTAATGCTAACTAATGATAGACTGCAATTCTCCACCTGGTTTTCTTCCAGTAAAGTTTTGTTTTCCAAACCTTTGATGAGATTAGTAAATCTTACAAATTTCTGACCATTGCTACATTAATAACACAACCTCATCATAGATTCTGGTTCTTTACCTCGAAAAATCTTTGATTAATTTTTCTAGAAAAACCACTAACAGTACTAGTAAAAAAAGTAAACATTAAATATCTCAGATTCGTATTCCACATTATCGATTACCTTTGGTCAAGTTTTTAAGATAATTATTCCTTTTGTTCTTGGATTCTTCTCTGATTAATCAGTGAAGTGCGCGCGTACGCGCAAGCAAACAATGTATTGTTGCTAGACTCTGCTCTATTAGAAAGAGAATATAGATGCAGTTATTTGAGTCTATTTAGTTAGTAACGCTTGATGTTGTGAGACTTTTCTCCGAAAACAAAACAGTCTTTGCATAAACTTTCATTAATATAAATATACTATGAATTTTTAATTGTGAAGAAAAGTCGAATTTTATTATTTTACAAATTTCTTTACTATGAAAACGATAAATATTCAATCGGTTGATTTTTGTCTAATTGATTTTTGTTTTGTTTTGAAAGTCTTGTATGGAAGTATTGAATTTCAACTATTGACTGATTATTTTATTTTTTTAATGAGCTGATAACATAAAGTCAATCTGACATTGATATTAGCTAGTGAGCGAAGACATTTTCTAAAATATTAAAAAAAATGATTAGATAATTAGGCA